TGTGGTCACCTCCGGGGCAGGCGGGAATCGAACTCATGCGGAAGCAGCTTTAGATTCTCAGTGCTGTGCTTTAACCCGCTGCGCCACCAGGGAGGGCCCGGAAAAGAAATTTTAATATAAATGCAACTGAAAGGAAAAATTCTTAAAAATGTATAACTTTAAGAAATCAAAAACACTTAAAAAAAAAAGCTGACAGAAGATTATTACTTTTAACAATATTATTTCTAGATAAATTAGACAATAAATCCTAAATTTAGAATTTATTAAGTCTAACAATACATTTAGATTCTTTTTTTTTTTAAAAGATGTTTATTTATGCATACAGAACTGGGGTATATATAGGCCAAAGGTGCAGGGAAGGTGAGAGGATTCACTAGAAGTTAACTAAACAAAACGACAGAGGCATTCCATTGTAAAAGAATATAGTATACCTGTAATAGGAGTGTAGAAAGGTGAGAACTAGAGTGATGGGTAAGGATGTTTTGGAAAAGTTTGTAAAACCTATACAAAGTCCGAACTTCCTAAGGGCAGTAAGAAGCCATTGGAGAGTTAAGTGACTTATCTAAGGTCACATAGCTAATAAATGAAGGAGCCTAAATTTGAACTCCAGAAAATATTATTCCAACCACAGAACATTTAGTAAAGAGCTTGTCACCAAAATGTACCGATAAAATAATAGTTAATACTACATACTTTAAAAGAAAAAGACAAGAAGCGACTATAAAGTGACCTAAGTGGAGCTGAAGAGAGAAATTAATGAGAGTTCCTTAATAAGGGTGGGACTTTGTGAATTGTTTGGTTATTAGGGTGGTATGACAAGACAGAGAAGTATAAAACTACTCTAGATTGTTGGAATTTTCATAGTTGCCTCTTACATTGAAACTGAAATTCCAATCCAACACTAAAACTTTCATTGTAACAACAGCATTTCAAAAAATAACAAATAATTTATATATATGTATATATATGTGTACATATCAGATATATATAAAAGGAATACAAAATTTGAGATGTTTTTCCTCCCTCATACCTTTTCTTACTGTGATTCTATATTTTGAGTTCTCAGGGAAAAGACACAGTTAAATACAGAACACAGAAGTGAAAAATTATAATTTAAAATAAGTGCTATAAACATCAACTGCTAGCATTTTAAAATAATATAATTTTATACAGACTGCAGTGTTTTAAGCATTTGCACTTTTTAAAAATTGCCTATAGATACATAAATGTAATGAGATAATTTTCATCCACTACAAAACAACTATTTGTTTAAAGTTTGCTTATGGTAAGCAAGAAAATAAAGAAAGTAAAATTAATTCTGAAGTAGATTTTTAGGTTTAATGGTAAATAGAAATAAAGCCAAAATTTCAAATGAAGGCATATATATAAGCTTCTCAGCACAAGTCAAATTAATCCTTACATGTGTGTTCCGATTTCTTTAACTTCATGGTGTATGACATCATCAATACAACAATCAGGCTTCAGCTCAGCTACTGCAGCATTGGAGGCTGAAAGATTTAAACGCTGAGAACTTGTCTGAAGATCAGCCTTGAAAGAAAGAGGTAAAATATTCAAATGAGATCGGTGACCTGCATGGTATGGATGAGTATGGATGGAAAGTACAGGGAAACAGGACGAGTAAGAAGGATAATGGGAAAACACTACTTCTCTGTATAAACTTTCTGCACAAAGTCTGATGTTTCTAATTACACACACATTATCAAAATAATTCACATGTACACATCAAAACAAATAAAGTCAGGCAGGAAGTAGGGGAATCCAAAATAATATACAAACTGTGTATCAAATGAAGCTAACTGTGTTACAAAAGAACAAAACCAAACTCGGGGAAGGAATGAGGAAAAAATACAAGGGTAAATTTGGCAAACAAAGGCTAAAGGAAAAAAAAAGGTAGCTAAATGTACTCAAGCTGGTACATTTGTTCTGTCACAAGGGTATGGATTAACAATTCTGAAACAACAAAAGGTACAAATAAGAAAAGGGAGAAGATTACAATGATAATTTTTATGTTGGATTGGAATCTGAGGCACCAGTTTGATTAACATATGGTTTTAAAATATAGATACAGTTGGGCATGATACAGAGCAAATCCAGATGTGTCAAAATATAATACTAAAAGATAAATAATGATTCAAAACAGTATTAGGTGTCAGAAACCAACTGACTTATAGAACTAAACGGCCCATTAAGTCAGCAACTATAAAGTATTACCTTTTCTTAAATAGTCCCCTCTTCCCACCTAGTCAACTATTTTATCCCCCTTTTGAACATTTATCACTCTGTCTAAAAGGCATCTTCCTTAGTCTGTTATTTCTATCACATTTTCAGCTTTAACTTTCTTTGTAACATTTATCACAATCTACAATTACCTTATCTATGTTTTGTTTATTCTGTCTGCCCTGTCAGAAATGTAAGGTCTATGGAGGCAGGAACCTCTTATCTTCTCTTGCTCACCACTATAACACGGTGCCTGGCACTAGTAGGCAATTAATAAATATTTGTTGAACAGTGAATGAATGAAGTTATGATAAAACTTCAAGGCAAATGTCAAGAAAAATTCAGAGAAAGCAAAGATTGCATTATGTCATGGGGATTAGGGAAAGAAATGTACTTAAGAGTTAGAATGATTTTAATTTTTTTTTTTTTTTACATAGCTAACAGGTTTTCTGCACTTAACTCTAATATTCTTGATTCTAAGCACTCTGAAATGGAATATTAGTGTTGTGTCTTTTGCTATCATAATCAGCGTAATTATAAAATCACAGTGGCTCACATTTACTCAGCATGTACTACATATTAGGCCCTGTTCTAAACACATTAACACCCACACTCCTGATGTAGGTTCTATTCTATTTTATAAAGATTATTTTATTTATACATACAAGAACTGGGGTACAGGCCAGAGATGCTGTGGGGGATGTGTGTGTGTGTGTGTGTGTGTGTGACAGAATTCACCAGAGATAGAGTGGGTAACAGAACAGGTGGATTGGCTAAAATTTACCGCTGAGGGGAGCATGGGCAAGACAGGCAAGGTCTGCTGCACTACGTGGGTCAGCTCCTTAGCCAGGGATTAAACTTTTGCTGCGGTGGCTGCGTCTAGCTTCATAGTGCTGTGCTTTAACCCGCTGTGCAACCAGAGAGGGCCTAGTCTGTCTATTTTCCAAACAATAAATCCAAAGTACAGAGAGTAACAACTATCCAAGGTTATACAAATAATAAGTGGAGGTTGAGAACCCATTCTTGAACACACACTTTGAAAGTTAAAGACGAGAAGAGAATAAACAGTCAAACTCCATAGACTTTCTGTCCAATATTTGCCTATATGGTGTTTTTAAATCATTAATCTTAACTACAGTATACATTATATACTGAATATATTTACCTTTTCCCTTTTTTACTATCATAAATAATGGAAGCCCTGAATATTTATTTTCTAACTACCTACTATCTACCAGGACTTTGTTCCAGGAGCTAGTGATGCATTAGTGAACAAAACAATCCAAAATTCCTGCACTTGTGAAGTTTAAATTGCTGGGAGAAACAGTAAAGGAAGCTCATTTGGGGAAAGGGAACATAATTTAAATTGCAGGGTAGTCTTCAACCTGAAAATTGGTTTTTGAATGAGTAGGATTTAAATAGTGGAGAGGAAATGGGTAAGACGGAATCATTTCAAGTAAGTTAAACAGAGCTATAGAAAAATAACATAAATTTGAAAGCCCATGATGTCCTTAGACATCTTTGCCATCAAAAAAGAAGTATGAGATAGCCTGGCTAGTTAAGAATTCATGTTTAATAGAGAACAAATATCCTAAAACATCTAGAACAAGTTTTAAGAGAATAGGGGCCTTGTCTGCCTCGTTTCCTTTTATAATCTAGTATCTAGAAGAGTGCCTCACATATATACTTGTTGGGTGAATAAATGAAGGTCTCATTTATACCAAAGGCTCTTACAATATGGTTCCCAGACAAACAGAATCATCTACACTTGGGAACATGTCAGAAATGTAAACTCTTGGATACTACTCCAGATAATGCTTGAGTCAGAATCTCTAGGCATAGGACAGCAATCAATGTTTTAATAAGCCCTACAGATGATTTTGATACCATCTTAAGTAGCAGAATAACTGGTATATAATACCACAGGAGCTACCTACTAATTTTTTTATTTATATAATACTAATTATATGTTTTTTGTTTTGTAGAATATTTTCTTCTTTTTTGGTGGCATGTTAACATTGCTAAGAATATTTTCAATTAAAAACTAAAAAACTAGTGGTTCCAGCTAAACATAGTAGATTATACAAGAAGTTCTACTATATAGCTCTACAATCTCTTCCCCATGATTTGAAAAATTCAAAGAGCTGTAAAGATTTAAAGTCTGAGGGAAGAATTCTGCATTATTGACGTAACTGCAACAGTGTAATTTTGCGTTTCCCAAGTCAGTCTCAAAAAACTAAAAAAATTAAACTATACAAAACCTTGTGTTAATATAACTAGAAAGCAGTAAATACCTACATTGCAAATTACCTCTAGGCAGACAAGTATCAAATTTCTGCAAGTTATTTCTCATGCCCTTGCTATGAGCCTTTAAAAAGAATAAGAGAAGTTGAGGAAAAATTGAGCTGAAGAGAAAAAGGAGAGTATAGACAGAAATGAGAATGATCTTACTCAGCACCAAGTCTACTTAAAGTGTGAAAACACTGAGAAAATGTATTACTAGTAGATGAGGACAGTCTACAAAGAAAGAACTTAACAATATTTTTGATTATGAAGAGGCAATCTTGAAAAGGTAACACTTCAAGAGGAAAGGGCATTAAATTTGGGAGCAGTAATTCGTAAGAAAAATCAAGCACACACACTTTCTTCCTTCTTCACAAGTCACCCATTAAAGAAACCACACTTTGCTCAGTTATAAGAGGACATTCTTTACCTAAAAATATCAAAGTGCCCCAAAATGAACTTCACAGACTGTAAAGTACCCCAATTTTCATCTACAAATATATACTATTATGAGGATAGCTGTGTGTCAAAAACTTTACTTATGGAGATGGAAATCTGAATTTCATATAATTTTTGCATCACAAACTAAACTTATTTATTTTCAAACATTTGAAAATGTAAAAAAAAAAATTCTTAGTTTAAAGTCTATGAAATCAGGCAATACACCAAATCTGGCCTGCAGTTTACCGTTTGCCAATACCTCATCTAATGAGAGACAGAAACCCAATTCATAATGACAAACATGTACTTGCAGGCCAAAATTTGTATTACTTCTGGAAGCTGGATCATATATGAAATATGAAATAGCTGTCTTCTTAAGTCCTTTTCAATTCTAAAAATAGTTGACCATTTTCAAATTCATTCTAATTGGACTTCTTTTTAGCAATTCTCTAATGATACAAGTTCATTATTTGAACTGCCTGGAAAGTAATTTCTCTTGCAGTGAACTTTTACTTTTTTTAAATCCTTTTTCTTGTGAATAAATTTCAGTTGTGTTTTTTTTTTAAATGGAGGTTAGCAAATTCTATCTCTTGATATCTTAAGTACTGCAAAGGATCTTCTTTCTGTCCTTTTCCTACAAACCATACTATATATTACTTTCCCATCAATCTTCTGACAGAGTGTGATACCTCTGTTCAAAAGTCTTCATTGTTTACTCTGTGAAGACAAACAAACAAAACATACAAAATCTAACCTTGCTTTCAAGATGTCCCATTGTTAGGCTATATATCATTCCAACCATACATAGTCTTATCAAGTGAATTCTGTTCACTGTTATAAAAACACATTTATGTATTCCTGTTTCTGTTCGTGATTACAGTGTTTTTCTTTTATATAAATTCTAATATTTTTTCAAGATCATTTGTTTCCTTTCTTCCAATGAGCCTTTCTGACTGACATAAACCCCATGATTTTTCTTAACGCTTTCAAATTTTATTATGATAACCATTATTATGTTAACAAAAAGCTGAACTGTTATTTGCTCCTAACTAGTATATATATATTTTTACCTAAGTTATCACACACTTTGAATAAGGAAAAATATTTCTGTGATTCTTACAATTTCTTATACTGTTAGATATTCAATTAATGGCAGCTGTTAATGACAATAAGTCCAGTTTCAAACAAGCATTTTAATGAAGTTTCAAAAGACAATTATAAAAACTTAAAACTTAAAAAATATATATCCCAAACAAAAAATGCCACTTACTTTTACCAGTATATCTTTTACAACTTGATTGCTGTCATTATGAACGCTGATATAACTGGAAAAAGTTTCTCCCAAAAATATATTCCTGCAAAACAAAATAAAATTTTAGGCAAATCCAAGTAAGTTTCATGACAAACAATCCATTTTGAGTATAACTCAGAATTTCAATAGAGAAAAAATAACTAAAGGACAGTGATCAAATGAAATAATGCTTTCACATTCCTTTGTTTACACAAGGCTGCTCATTTATTACCTAGTGCAATTCAAAATATGCCTTAATCTACAGAACATGATAAATACTTTAATCCTCAACTTTGCACATAATGTCAGTTTCATTGGAAAGAGAACCAACTAAGTGTCTTCATATCTGAAGGGGCATGAAGAGATAATTTTCCATGCTTGAAATAACTTAATGTCCTGATTTTAGAAGAATCATGTCACTGACCTGAAGGGTGATTTCTGTAAGTTACCCTAATTAAAGAAAAATAAAGGACAATTGGCTATCCTGTTTTATATTTTTATATGAATATATTTCTAAGTCTTTAAGATACTAGTCAGTGAACACATTCAGTAAATTAAAAAAAATCAAAATTTCTTTTGGTCTCAAATTATAGCAAACAGAACTACGTCATTAATAATCTAGTGTAAGAAAACAGTTAAGAGCAAAAGAAGGAAAAAAAAATTTAGAGCTCCTAATTAGATGATATATTTACTAAAGACTGCAGAGGGTGATGAAAGTTGAACAGAAGAACTGTTTCTGAAAGACATTTAGATAAAATTAGCTCAAAAAAATTACCATTATATAGTACAGAAGTTTCAATATTGCTATGTTCTTGGCAACCTTGACTTAAAATGATGTACAAGGAAAGCGGGTCCTTCAATAACCCTGTCATTTAATATTGGCCAGAACTGACTTTTTTCTTACCAACTTTATAACAAAACAACATTGAAATGCCACTATTTGAGGACCTGCTATAGAAGACCTAAGGAAAAACGTTAAAATTCTATCACCCTAGGAGTTACTAACACTCTGTTTAGTTTTTTTTTGTTTGTTTGTTTAATGAAAGCAAGCCAGAACTACAGGGTATAATTTGGGTAAAACTTTTTTTCCTTTTAACCATGTAAATGTATGAGTGTTTCCCCATTCCACAGGCTGTTTTTTTGAAAACATAACTTGTAATGGCTTTACAGAATTGCTGCAGCATTAATGGAGAGACCAACATGCCTGCGGAGGAGGAAGTGAGGGTAATTTCAGCTGCTGCAGTGGTGACAGTGCCAGCTGGCCAGCTTCTCTTGGGCTTCTGCATGGGTAAGCAGCTGTGCCCTGAGAGTGGGGCTTCTGTCACTGTTTCCAGTGTACCTGGCTCCAAGTTACACACTGGGGAGTGGCCGACAGCAATGCTATCTGGATTTGGGTCAGGGCCGGCAGCTGAGCTCCAGGGCAAATCAGCTGCTTTTATCACTTCCACTGTGACTAGATCCACCAGCTATGCAGGTCCGACCCAGCAGCCTGAAGTCCCAACTGGAAAAACCAATGAGTGAGTACCAGAAGTATCCAGTAAGACACTGAAGTTGGTAACTTTATCAAAAATGTGGAAACGAGTATGAGCAGAGGATTCACTAAGAATAGGGCTTGGGTCAGTTCAATCTTAAACATTGAGATGGTGAAAGGGAAGGCTACATTAGAAATAAAACAGATTTGTCAGCAGCGTATTGTGCAACAAAAAGTACAGTCTTCACCGTTGTCCCTATAAAGAAGTTATATTTGGTCCAAAACCTGGGTCAGGCCAGTCCAACATTTCTGTATTCCCTCAGGGAAGGCTATGAGTTCTTTGTAGTCTAATGGACATGTATTGAGTTCCACTTTGATGAATATTCAGAACCAATGGGAAACTGTTGTCAGTCAGTTGATTTATGTGTCTGCCCTGAACTTGAGTAAAAAACACCATGAAAGCAGAAATGGATTCTACATTTCTGAGTATTGCTGAGGCACAATGCAATGCCAAACAAGATCAGCTCTTCTATGGCACTGGTCAGACAGAGACCTATCGGTTAATGGAGAGCTTTCACTTCAGACTAAATGAGTTCAAATATATGTTTATTATTGCTAAATTAAAACAAAGTGGACTTGGAGCAGAACTGACATGTACCCAGAACTAGTATAAGACTTATAACTGAATGGATTTGCTTAGTGTCTGCTCAGCCTTGGATAGTCTAGAGTCCACCCATCCTCTTGAACTCTCAGGTGGCAGCTCTGCATGCACAAGGAGTAGTCCTTAGTGCGTAAATTTGGAGGTAAGCCCTGTCACCTGACAATCAGGAGTGCAGGGAGACAAACATTCTAATGATTATCTCCCAGCATCTATGAGGTTTCCTTTCTTAAGTCTGTTAAGGCCATAAACAGAGATATCTATTCATGGTTGAGCTGATTTCACAGTGTAACAGTGTGTTCGCATTCTGGATATTTTGCTGAATAGCTCCCAAGTGATAAGCTCCTCATCTTTATAAAAACTTGTGACAGGGTAAGCACAGGTTGTTGTTAGTCACAGATTTTACAGATTTTTTCCAAAGGCATAAGGCAATATTTTATTTCATCTCTAGAACAACCAAGTATTATCATCAGGATTAAAACTTCATCTAGATGCTACCTAAAATTACCACTCGTATGGCAGGCGTGGAGTAACAGATTTCAGGTACAGTTAAACATACAGGTACAATGTTGTGCATGTGTATAAAAGCCTCATGCTCTACCAACTGTGCTAGTTAGGCTCCCAAGCCTGCTTATTTTTATACCATGGATATGGCACTTACTTCATTCTGCCTGTTAGAAGCCATATATCTGAAGGAGGTAAATCAATGCAGTACAAGCATTTCTGTAAGAAGAGAACCAACCTAGAGTTGCATATTTTTGTTTTGTTTTATTTCTAAGCAATTCAAAGCCATGCCAGTATATTTAAAAAGTAGGGAGAAAAATTAGTGTTTCCAATGTTGTCAATGTAGCAGTAAAATAATGCCGGTCTTAGAATCTGTTACACTACATAGTGAAATAGGCTCTCCAGTGTTACGCTGTAGGCTAATTTAATCAAAATTTGTCTTTTGACTTAACATTTGCTTCAAACACTAAAAATAAGAGATCTCTAGAGCTGGAAACTCATGTCATATGTTGTGACTCAAGTCACAAGATCAGTGATACAAAAGAATGGTGGACGCCACAATATAATTGCTAACCTTTGCAATGCCACTTATTTTCTTGATTTAATACACTTCATTTGTTGGACACAGTTATTAATCACAGTATATTTTCGTAATACCCACACCAGAGAATGAAAAAAAAAATGGGAAAAGAAGTACAAATTGGCTGCTCATTTAATAGTTTATTCGAGCTTTGCTCTAAATTCCCACTTGCCAAAGAAAGCTATATCCATTATTCTAGACATGATTTAAGTACCAGCTGTCTTTTCTTTATACTTACCTAGTAATCTAGCAAAAAATGAAAAGAAAACGGTAACATTAATTAAGCAAATTCACTTCTTGGTGAATATAGAAGGGTGACAGCATTTATTTTTTTTAAGATTTATTTATGCATACAGAACTGGGGTACTGGTCAGAGGTAAATGGGGTGGTAGTGGAGAGAGGATTCACCAGAAACAGAGTGGGGAGCAAAACATGCCAATGTACTAAAATACACTGCTGAGGGGAGCAGCAGGTGAGTCAGGAGAGGTCTGCTGCACCATGTGGGTCACCTCCCTGGCCAGGGATCAAACTTGTGCTGCAGTGGCTGCGGTAGCCTCATAGATGAACTACCAGGGAGGACCGAAGGGCAATAGGATTTAGAATAAAGTGAATAGGGGTTCAGCACTGGGATTCATTAGTTTCATAATACTGAACAAATTATTTAAACTCTCAAATTGTTTGCTCATCTGGAAAAATGGGGATAATAATAACTACCTCACAGGATTACTGAGAGAATTAACTTACTATATACAGAACAGTAGAGCTTTTAACCCTCTTCATTTTCTCTACTTCTAGCGTGTCTTGTTAAAGATCAAATTAATACAGCATTTCAGGTGTGCAGATCATTCTTCATTCCAGGTTAAGAAGCAAATTCCATCTCACAGGTTCTCAAACTTTTAAGTTGTAGTATAAATACTACGAACTTTAAAACACAGATTTCCAGGTCGCAGTCACACACACCCTAATCCCACTTGCTGAATTAATCTTTGTAAAAGGTACTGGGAATCAACATTTTAATATGTATTCCAGATGACTGTGGAAGGTAATTAGCCAACCGCACTGAGCATCACTGCCTTATCTATTCTTAACAAAATATGCTTGCTCTCTGACTGTATATTTGCTTAAGTGTCATTTTTTTCCCCACACCACACTATGAGCTTCTTATGAGCCACAGTTGATCTCCATTCTTAAGTGCTAAGGACATGACTTGGAAAATAGAAGATACTCAGTTGTTTGTTAAATAAGTAAAGGATATATGGGTTTTAGTAAAAACAGCTTTTTGCATTTCTTATGTGAGTATTATCATTCTTACCCAAAATTCTGTGGTAAAGTCAACATTTCTCCCAACATTAAAATTTCAGCACCATTTACAGTTGAAGGGTCATCTCTCATGAGTTGGTTAAAGAGATCTCCTGTAGCAAAAGAAAAATATTATGTTCTTTTTTTTTAAGGTTTATTTATTTGTGCATACAGGACTGGGGTACAGGCGAGAAGTGCAGGCGGGTGAAAGGAGTCACTGTAGACAGAGTGGGAGCATAAAAGGCAGATTGATGAAGTACACTGCTGAGGGGGAGCAGTAGGCAGGTCAGGCGAGGTCTGCCACACCATGTGGGTCACCTCCCTGGCTAGGGATTGAGCTTGTGCTGAAGTGGCTGCAGCTAGTTTCGCAGTGCTGTGATTTAACCCAATGTGCCACCAGGGAGGACCCAAAAAAATATTAAGTTCTAATCCCTACTTTGTAAGTAAAGGAATAGTTGGGAGAGAGATTTTAAAAAGAACTTTTGACAAAAATTACATTTTAAAAATCTATTTTTTAGTCTTTTATACAAATAACATGATAAAAAAATTCTATCAAAGAGAAAGAACACTTCAGAAATAAAGGAACATGAATGACACAATATATGATAGAAAAATCCCAATAGTTTTAAATAAAGAGAATGTTAGAACAAAGCCTGACAGAATATTAGAGGATAAATGGAATTTTAATAGTATCACTGGCGTGAATGTATCTTGTACCTAGTAAAGATACGAAAGATAATACTGTTAACAATATTATCTGGAATGATAGATTAGGAGTAAGACCTGTTTCTCAGTTGGCCACTACTCACATAAAAACAGCCAATAAAGAATTCAACAAAGAAATTTGCATAAGGCTGGCAAGGCTAGGCTTATTCTCAGGTGTTTCAGCATTTCCTAGATGAAAGCATATTAAAGGTAAGACATACCAGGTAAGTCTTTCTCCTCACATGTTACTGGAATGTTGGTGAATAAAGTAGGCTTAGTCAAACGCATCACTGTAAATTAAGAAAAAACACTGATAAATTTTAAAAAATCTATAAAAGTTTATTTTTACATCATTTTGTGCATTTTTCCATCTCAGCTGCAATCCCTTTGGGCTTCCCATCACCAAATCACCCATGTGCCATCAACACAGTCCAGTGCATTTCCCTCCCCCCACTGTTTTTGATCCCATTCCCCACTCCATCCCCACAAAATGTCTCTGGTATCTAGCTATTCATAGTTATCATTAAAAAGTTGATAAAATTTTATGTAAATGATAAAAAATCGGTAAAATTGATAGTACTTTAATATTCTTAAGTATGTTTTCAATTTTATGTTAAAATAAAATATAATCTGCATTTTCTAAACTGAATATACTTCCTAACATTGTTACACAACAATGATATAATACAAACATTAATGTATATTTATATAAGTCAAAAAATTTGCTTCACTCATACTCTAATGAATTATAAAAATGAAATGCAAGTGTAGAAATAGAAAAACTGAAAAATACAGGGATTTTTTTTTTTTTTTTTGGTTTGTGTATGAGTTGCTTCTCTAGGTCTCAGTGTTAGTCTTCTCTTTTGTGAAGTGCTAACAATAACAACCTTGATGAATTATTGAGTAGAAAAATGAGATGTGGAAGTATTTCAATCCAGTTAAAATAAAGAGATTTTTACAGCATAAGTTATATTTAAGGTAAACAGGGCTTTAAAGAAAAAAAAGTTTAGACATACCATTTTGAAGCTGTACAGAAAATTTAAGCCAAAAGATTAGTCTAAAGAATGTTGGTGGGTTTAATTTCTTGGATATAATTATTGGACACTAGAAGGTCAGTAAGTGGTCCTTTGAGTCCTATTAGTTCTGTCTAGAAATGATGATATACTGACATACACCTTAAAACTAAGATTTGTTCTGGGAACAGGCTAAATTCAAGAACTAACATCTTTAGTTTTCATGACTACTTTGTAAGTTCTGATTACATGGTACTATTATCATCAACTCCATTTTACAGGTAAAGACTATACCAGAAAAGGGTAATTTACATACATAAGATTATATAGCAGGTAAGTGACAGAATCCAGATTTGAATTTAGGAGATTTTACTCTTTTCAAACATCTCTCTATTATTACTTATAGCCCTGGGTCAAAAACCTGGAATATCATGCCTTATCAGAAACATCCTCATGAAAATTTAATATAGAATTGTATCTCAAACACAGCATAAACCAGTTTTGATCAATCACATAAGGATGTGGGAATGAAGTGGTGAGGGAGTTGTTTACAACCTCCTACTTCAGTCCTATTTTTTAATTAGGAAAACAAATTAAAATTAAGTATAATTAGAAGGAAGCAAGAAGATGTTCTAAAACCATTTATATATGGTTACATGTCAAATTTACTAAAAAAGAGCTTTCAAGAGCTTTCAAAGTTATTTTTCATGTTTCAAAAGAGTAAAGGAACTAAAAATAGTAGACAGTAAGTGATAAAAATAGTAGACAGTAAGAAATACTATCATTTGGTGGACTTAAAAGAAAATAACCACAAAACACAACTTGTATTGCAGATTTTACTGAGAAAGTAAACTGAGAAAGTCCTTTAGAACATACGACTAACTGCCTTCCTCCTAGGACAAGTCAAGGTATCCACATATCAAATACACACTTAAAACTCAGTATTTCCTGTCTTATAGTAAGTTTTTTAAAAACTAAAAAAATTGAACATGTTTGCTGAAAAAGAACACACACCAATTAGAAAAGTTTAAGAAATGATAGATAGCCTACCAAGGAAAAATAAAGTTATGACATTGCTGCCACTTTCCTAGAGAGTAAATTGCTGATGGTATTTTACAAATACCCTCACAGATTCATCTTCCTTTATATATCTTTCCTCCCCCAACCATCTCTCCCATGTATATTAGTAAATTTTGGGTTTTGACATTAGAACTCAGAAATATTGATGTGTTCAACTATTAGCAACTGATAGAAAATCATCAGTCCTAAGCCTCTAAATATTCTAAAGAAGGCTTCAGAAAAGTAGCAGTGGATTCTAAATTCTTTGGCCTTGAATACTTCTTAAGTATCAGCTAGGTAAATGAGAAATCTCTCCTTTTTTTTAGATCATGATAAAACTCACTTTTCTCTCCCAGTTCTGAATAACCTTTTCATTGTTTCTCCAAGAAGTAGAAGGTAGCTTATATAATTTAGAAAAATTTAAATCTAAGACATATGGAGACTCTAATTTTAAAATGAGATTCATGGATTTGAAACTTGTCATAAAAATTGCATGATCTGACTGTACCTTTTACTTTCAAAATAATAAAACTTATAAAAAAGAGTTCTCTATAAGTGACTATATTATGATGAGCTAACTTTTAACCCTTGAATAACAATCTTAAGGTAAATAAGACATGCACAATAAACACTGAATTCACAATTTATGATTGCTTAACAATAGCTCAATCAGCTGTTGTTTGAAAGCTTGTGGGCAATAATTTATTACTTCTTGAAATTTATCCAGCTGTCCTGGAGAGTAAAAATTTAATGAACAAAAAGAAGAAAGAATTACTAATGAAGCTACCTTAGAAACTCTGTCTACCCTCACTGATTTTTCATTCAAAGACTTTTCGAAGCATTCGTGCATATCATGATTTTCTAGACATAAGTTTCATTTGAGAAAATAAAAAGGTAGTAGAAATAAAAAAAAGTTTGACTAGATTAAACCATATCTCTTTAGTTTAAATTAATAGATTCCTCATATTTTAAGTAACTTCAGCCAGATCAGGTTGTGAATTCCTCCAAAAGGCACATTTACCATGTTACTGAATCATTAATATGACAGGCACTGTGCCACAAGACAAACATATTTCTGTTTTCCTACTGAGTAGTGTTACTGGTTTTTCTTAGATTACTTAAGTAGTAACTTCATGTAATTTCCATGACTGACAAATTCCGCATTTGATACCTTCCCTTGTATGTTCTAACACCTAGTACATGGTACACATTTGTATCTCTTAAATAAATATATGGCCTACATGGTTTTACAAAACTTTTATTCTCTAATGACTTTGGGAATTTTTATGAGGTGCTTGTAAACCCAATTTCTAACATTTTGCTTATAGGGAACCCATGATATCTCCAAGAAACAATCACTAAAATTGAGTTACCTATATTATAATAAACAAGAAAAATTTGACCTCTTACTTGTATGCTACACAACCCTGTTGCTAAAACTGATGATAGCCTTAACTATACAGTATGGCTTTAGGCAAACTGTATTTTTTGTACCGTTTCAAGTCAACTCATTGATAATTTATCATTAACTTTGAAAACATCAGTAGAATCTAGGTTGTTCTCCGAACGTTAAACCAGTCACACATTTGAATGACATTTCCAAAGAATTGGTTTTAGTTTATTATTTAAAATCACAACTCTTCAGGTGAGGAGTGAAAAATTACAGTAACATTCAATTGTGGGAATTCACCAAATCCAATTTATTCACTATAATTCATAGTATGATACAACTATTTTTTTCACAATCTTAAGAATGTTAGGCTAGTGAAAGATCAAATACAAAAATTAAATCATTAAAAAATTAAAAACTTGTTAAGAATGGATTCATCTATTTCAGTTCAGTATATTATTTTTAACAATCACTGGAATTCATCACATACTAAAAATAACACCATATTTATGCACAAATAAATTCATTTTTCCAGTAAGAGCTAACCTTCCTTTAAGAAGATTCCCCACATATTCACAGTACATAAGATCACAGAATACCCATATTTGGCCTAAATGTCTCTGGATGGTAGCATTACAAGATGGAAGTTCATTGTGCTTGATAATTCGACTGAGTTTTGCCCAAATGTCTTCCAAAGTTAGACTGTTACATACAGTGTGTTCTATTGTCCATCTTGCTCTATGAAATGAGTGCAGATTTAGTGTCTTTAAAGTGTCTTGTAACTTTTTAGATAAAGGAGAAATATTTTCAGTACAATTACTTCTAGGAAGCGAAATACTCCAAGATCTCATTTGATGCTGTTTTCCTTTATCCAGATCTCCCAAATTAGTCTGTTCGTGCAGTGTGTGTGATAGGGTTAAGTGCTTCTTTTTCAAATTAGGTTGGAATTCCAATAGATTTACAGTGCAATCGTAACTATGTGATTTAACATCATGTTCTGAAATGGCTAAGTACTGTTTCACATCTTCAGCTGCTTCTTCAGAAATCACAGGTGGTGATCTTTTAGGTTTGAGTGGAAGTTTGGACCCATCATGTGGAAACCAAGGAATAAATTTTGATAGTGGACGTGTAGGAAAGTCTTGAATTACTTTCTCTGCAATTTTGGACAGTTGTGTTGGATCACTCTCATTTGGTCGATAATGTAGTATTACTTCTGTAGTCATTCTGCAGTAATCCAGTTACTTTAATGAGGAGAAAATTTTTTAGCTGAGCTCCTCAGAGCTAAAATGTAATTTATAATTACAAAACTCTTTTTCCAAATCAGAGGTAAACAGGACCTAAAGTGGAAGTATTGCAAAAAATAAGATATGGTAGGGATAGCCTATATATAAACAGTGAGAAAAGGAAAAACAAAAACCAATCCTAGTACAGTATTACCAAGGAGCTACTGCTAAGTGTGAATATAATCCACATAACTGGCACTCATGAAAATAAGGGATCTGGACTATAAGATCACTTCTAGTTTAAAAATGTTAGCAGTTAACATATTCATTAACAGATAAAAAGGATTTGAAAGTACTGACATTATATATAAAAATCATTTTGATTATTTCAGAAATAAAGTAAATCAGTGTTTCTTAAAATAATAGATTCATGTTAATAAACTAAAATCTAACAAATTTTTGAGACATCTGGATAGACACTGAAAATCACTAATTTTTAATCTCTTTGGAAGAAAATGGATCACACTACACTTTAAAATGACATGAGTTCTATCCAACAAATATATAGGAAGAATATGTGATTTAATTCATTATTAGAAACAGGAAAAAACATGAACATGTTTTCCTGGAATTTTTACCAGGCTAGGAAATGAAGTTTCTGCTGCATAATTGGGGCAGTTAGGATGTAACAAGACTTCAATACTTCAGCTTCTGAATTTCACTTAGGAGGAGGAACAAGCCTTTCCTAAAAACTGTTTTAAAACATAGAAGTTGCTCCAAATGAAGTCACTGATTAATAAGATCCAGTATGTGGTGTACAGGCTCAGGAACTGTGCTTTTTAGTATCTGTAAAATTATGCTTCCTAATCAGGCCTAAAGATGCAAGAACCATAATGTAGGTTCTATAATATCCCAGCTACTGTGGTAAAAAATAAGTGGCTGAATTCTTTCCTCCAAAAATGATCAGAGAAAATCAACAGTTCTCCCACTCTTAGGACAATTGTGAAGTCACAATACTGCTTTGAATAATGATTGTTAAGACATTTATGACCACTAGATTTAACAACTTTTAAATTAATAAATGATGGTAATTTAAAGTCTATAATACTTAATTTGGATCTAAATACAGAATAGTATATTCTTTCAAGAATTAAAAATGCTTTAATTTTCTTCTTTCTTTCTTTCTTACATTGTAATGGCATTGAGTATTCTTTCACTGTTGTACTCCAGGGACAATGATGTTCTGAGGGTGCCTTAATATATTACATTTTAAGAAAATAAACTAAAATGACCATATAGGTTGATATATCTGTCATCCAACATTATGAAAATGAAAACTTGTGCAAAGTCTTGTCTAACTAGGAAAACAGGGAAGAACAGGAACAGACAGCTTTAACAAAGTTAAAATTCTCAAAGCATTTGTTTTCTTAAGCTGCTAAAAATACTCTTTCCAGGTATCTTCTGTTTTGGAAAATAAAGAAAAATAATTAAACACTTCCATTGTTTGTGGCCTCCACACCACTGAAATTTAAATGTCTAATGTCATTTAATTTGTATAACATCACAACTAGCAGCTAATAAAAATGCTTTAACGTCTAAACAAACAGAACTGTTCCAAAACTCTATCAAAATAGCAACAGAATGAGCTCTGAAAATGCTACTTTATTCATTCAAAAGCAATATGGAAGTACAGGCAAGATGGAGAAAAGCTTTCAGTTGGAACACTGCCTCAATCACCTACTAGCTTGGAGATATGGAAACATCTACCTCCTGAGGGTTAACTGTTGTGAGGCTGAGAAAGAGATAAAAGAACAAGACAGTTACTTTCTTTTCTTTTTTTCCCCCGGGAATAATCTACTTCAGGCTCTTTGCTCAAGTTAAACTGCTTAGAAGTCCTATCAGTGTATTATTTAACTTTGTGGTTAGTCCCAACTATGAGGATATGAATTTATGTTACAAATGAGACAGTTGAACTTCTGGAATGTTAGAAGCTTACCTCATAATTAGGGAATAAAGTCCCCCAAAATGGATGACACAAGGAAGGTAAGTGCAAGTCAACTGAATTTAAATGATTTATTGAGCATTTTCGCAGCCTGTCCAAGAAGCTACTGGCAACCACATAGTGAAGAATCCAGGAAATAAAAAGTGCAATTGTGGTGGTAGGAAAGAGAGGAAATAAGAATGAAATTCCAACAATTTCAAATAAAAGGTTTTAGAAGGCAAAGCAATTCTAGAAAAACTTTGTACTACTGCGTTTGCCTAAATAATAATCTAAAGCCTCAAACTGACTCAAAATTGTTTGCTGTGTACAGAAAATGAAGGCTGATAAGCATTTTGGACATAATCCCCATATCCGCGAGATGTTTTAAAACAGTGCGCCAACTTTTGCAGTACTAATAATGTCTATGTTCTTTGTACTATTATGCAATATAAGACTAGTTTTACCTATGAATCTGAGGCCTTCTAACTTAGCCAGGGCCAGGTGAAAAGACATGAAAGACCGAAAACCATTTTAGCCGCCTGCTGTAAATTCACCTCACAGTGCTCTTCCCGGGTTGAGGGAGCAGCAGAAATCAGTTTCCACGGCTAGAATCTGTCTGGTAGACTACAACAGCACAGATCAGAGTGAGTGATTAGCAGGTATCTATACCTTTATAAGAAAGAGGCTCTCAAGCATAACAAGCACAGAGGAGATCTTGCTTCATCCCTGTAGGCATCAAGGTGATAGAGTAGGAGAATGCAGATATGTTTAGGACGAGACCTACAAGCCAGAGGCCAGGTCTGAGAGGCAAAGCCTTCAAACACTGGTGAGAAAACCGAGTAAGTCAGGTTTGCAAAAGTTTACCTTTCAGAGCCAGCAGGTGCTCCTGTTTGGGGGGATTGACTTCCATTTTGATCGGCACTTTTGACCCACCGCCTACGGAAGCTGCAGAGGTTCAACAGGCTCGGAAAAAAACCGGAAGCGCAGTTTGGGAAGAACAAACGTCAAAAAGGCAAGGCTCCAGTTTCTCCCTGCCCGTGGCGTCTTAGCTTCTCTTATCACGTCCTTTGAGAACCCAACGCCTTATTTTTACTAAAGCCATCTCTTGCCTTTTAGAAGCCAGTCGTCAAATGCTTTTATTTCCCAGGCACTGTCACGGCTGGTGGCTTACTGAAACGCCGCCTCGGCAGTTCTACGCAGACTCTCAAATGCCTACTGTGAGGAGCGCGAGAAGTGGCATGCTGGGATTTGTGGTTTATACAAACCACATTGCATGCAGGGAGATGTAGTTCCCCCTTGCCTCTGTTTGGCAGTTGCGTAGGAAAAATCATTACCAGAGTGTAAGCTGCATCCAAAACTTGTTTTATCCCTTCTTTCCCCGATACTACTAATTCCTTGCTTTCTATAAGTTCCAGATTCCTTAAAAATACAATAAAGATAACAACGCGTCACGTACTGGGTTTTTCCCTCAGAGACCTAGCGACCTGCAGGAGGAGGAGCAAAGAGGTCCCTGGAGCGGCGTCAGGCGTCGTACTGCGCCTGTGCGCCAGCGGTGGGCGCCGAGGCTTCTGGGTAGTGGTACTACCCCGCCCTCTCTAGAAGGCCTTGACTGCTGCTACTGCGGCGCGGTTCCTGCTAGGATGGCAGCTCTGGTTGTAAACAAGCCCGGAGCTGGACTAGACAGTGTCCGGCAGGGCAGCCGGGGTACGGCTGTGGTGAAGGTGAGAGGGACCTTGGGTGCACGGTTCTCCACCTTCGGCCTCCCTTCGGTTCAATCCCATACTTGGGGACGACGGCGCCGCGGCCCAGGCTTTTTCGGGCGGGATACGCAGCCTCTGGGCCGCCCTGGGCTTTTTAAGCCTTATTTTTTCCTCTGCGACTTTTATCTCTGCGAGCCCGAAGTTGGCTTCGGATCTTGCCAGGCCTGTGCTTGGCATCTCTCACGGGCACGTGTGTGAAAAAGAGCTTATGGGCCTCAGCGACTGACCTGAGGTGGTCTTTGCCCCGTTCTGCGTTTTGCTTAACAGCCATTAATTAGCTTATTTTATTAACTTGAGTCATTCTCTTTGCCCGTGCTGTGTTTGATATTTTAGCTCGCTGACATCTAGTTTAGGGGGTAGATGTTAACTTCTGTTTCACATGTGAGAAAATTCAGGTTTAGGTTCACATAGAAGTTGTCAGAGCTAGGAGTGACTAGCTTTACTGACTGCTTTTCACTGTTGCACTATTTCAGTAGGCATGTATCTATTATTGGTTGAACTGGCTCCCCTGTCTTGGTAATACAGTTTGTGAAAGATTTTGAGAGTTTTTCCATCAGCAGCATAGCTGGGCGATAGTATACTAGAGTGTGTTAATTGCCCAGTGCTTGACATTTGAAATTCTACTTTTCCATTATTTATAATGTGGAAAAATCTGGAAGGGAGAATGGTGTCAGTGGTTTGAATATAACCTTCAGGATCTTCTGTAATCTGAGATTTTCCTGACTACATAGTAGAATCATTGAAGACCTTTAAAATAAAGTTACTGCTTACATTGGCATCAGTGTTTTTTACATTCCCAGAAGTGAATTTAAGGTGCAGCCAGCCTGGACTAACCCTGGAATAGTTAAGATCCGAAGTATTTTTAAGGTCTTGAATATTGGTCCTTTTAAATTTTCGCATACTGATATTTTTCACATCACAGCTTCTGCTCACAGCTGTGATTTCAGCCAGTATTGGTGTTTGTTGATTCATCTGACTTTTATTTATTAATAATGTTATTCTGAAGATACGTTTCTGACATTTAGAGAAGCCCAGGTCAATATTTAATGTTTAATGCTTAATATTAGGCATGTTTTATGTTTGGATTTTATTAATTGTGTTTTTTTTCAAAATAGAATACCTGAACATTATTTAGTGAATTAGCTTGAAGTTTAAGAAGATTTAATTGGAATAGATTTTATTGCTGTATCTGCTATTCTGTGTTTGCCATAAGAATTTCAAAAGCATACCAAAGCCTGATTTAGCTCCTGTTTGTTAGCTGGCCACTTTTTTCGTTTTCATCTTGATGTAGAAAATATACCTGAGTTGTGAAACAAGATAGTTCCTTTGGCAATATCCTCATGCCACATTTTGTAAGAGTGGTGGTATAAACTTTTCAAAGCCTCATTGTCATTTTTTTTTCATCGATGAGATCAGGAAATACTCCGGCATTCCAGTAGCAATATGTAAAATTCAAAAAAATAATGAGGAAAAGTATTTTGAGTAGCAATCTTTAGTTTTTGAAAATATGCTCTAGTTTTTTAAAACCTGATTTGCTTTTAGTAACTTTTGAAGCCCTCTGTGGCATATTTTTTAATTTTTAAAATTAATGATTTGGGGCTTGGTTTCCTAGGTTAACTATAATTGCTATTCATGAATACTGAAGAAAGAATTTTCTACTCTGTTATTTACTCGATTTTTGGAAAGTAACCTAGTAATTTTGGTTTTGGACCTGTGTGTAGTTTACTGATCAGTAGGATTTTTCTGTTGCTTAAAAAAAAAAAATAAATCTATATGGTAGCACTATAAGCTCTTTAATATCATGGGGTCATATGTAAGATATGAATGAACTAAATTTTTTTAAGATTTATTTTTTTCATTTATGCATACAAGATCTGGGGTGTTGGACACAAGTGCTGGGGTTGAAAGGTGAGAGTATTCACCAGTGACAGAGTGGGGAGTAGAATGGACAGATCTACTGAATACTGCTGAGGGGTACGATAGGCAAGACAAGAGAGGTCTGCTGTGCTAATAATTGGGCTAGCTCCCTGGCTGGCAATAGCTTGATATATCTGAGACTTAACTCCTGTACCACTAGGGCGGCCCCTAAATAAATTTTTAATTTGGCTCTTTGTAGTTTATTTTCATAAATAGGGCTAGTACAGTGTCACGATAGTGATAACATTTATTAAAATTTTGCTTTTATTTTAAATACATAGTTGTGTTACAGCTTTTCAGTATTTAATTATTATTTGAGGATATTTAAGTGACTTTTCCTGTCTTTTTAAAAATATAGAATAAAGTGTATGTGTATAATGTATATATTTGTAGATGTTCCCAGTTGTTTCTCTTCCTCATGGGAACCACTATACCAATATAGTCAATATCCTTTATATTCTGCCAGAAAATAGTTTGCTTCTTTTTATATGTATATACATATATGTTTAGCATGTTAACATAGAAGTGCATGTATTTATATGTACTGAGTATAAATATATACTTACATTTATATGTAAATGTTTTCTTGCTATCTCTACTTTTATATAAGTTATACCCTTTCATTTTTTTACTCTCTTTATGTGAAATCATCCAGTGTGTTTATGTAAGTTACATCCAACTTTTCCATTCATAGATTGAATATTTTTGCAGTATATGAGTGTACCATAATTGTTTTTCAGTGTTGTTTTGATGATACTTTGTTTTCAGTATTTTCTAATGCAGATGGTGCTGTGAGAGATATCATGAAGATCTTGTCACAGTTAAGATATTATTTGTAAGATATTTCCTGAAAGTAGAATCATGGAGCTATTTTACCTTCTATTTAGGTGTTGCCAAGTTGCTTTCCTTTGAGCCTACCACTCAATAAATATTTCACAGCAACCCCCAATATCTGTGCATACCTACTCTCCCACACTTTCATCAACACAACGTGTTACCAAACTTTTGATCTGCTCTGGAAAAAAGAAAATGATAGGAATAGCTTTAATTGCATTTCAAAGTGTTTTGAATGAGATGAATATTTTTTAAAGTATGTATTTAAAGAGCTATTTTCTTTTTGTGTGTTATATTCAAGTTTCTTTTAAACTATCCTGGGATATTAGCTATTTGTAAATTATGTTTCTTAGTGATGGGAAATATTTACATTTCATATATAAGTCCAGATAACTGCTGGATTAAGAGTAAGATTTTAATAGTCTGATTTCTACTTTATCTTTTTTGTCCTGTATCATATGTTTGTTGGGGGATGTATAGTCACTAATGCATGGTACATGGGTGCCCAAGGGCTAGTATAATCATTTAAGTTGCACTGAGCTCTGGAATGATTTGAGAAATACAATTGTTTAGGAATTTGTTGGTTCAATAATGTGAAAAATGCTCCCCTAAGAAAATGTCTGTTTATGTGTTTGCTCAGAGTTAGCATTAAAAAAAGGCAGGAACATTCTCATCTCGAAGTATTTAAAATTCTTTGAAATACTGGGAGAATGGAGTCTGAAGAAGGTGGCAGTAGGACAGAGATCAGATTATAGCACATCTTGTATGACAGGCATAGCTACTGCTAAGCAGTTTAGTGCAGGTATTTTTTTTAATTAATTAAAATTGTGAAACAGTTAAGCTATGTTAAGAAAAGTAATTAACACACTTTATTGATATATATGTAGTTTGTTGATTGTAAGACAAACTCAGGCTTGGGAATCAGTGCACGCTAGTTCTTCTTGCCTTTCATTTGACTAACTACATGTCTTGGGCAAATCTTTAATTGGAACTAAATGGATGAAGTATTTCCTAGCCCAATAGCATATTTATTAATTGAGGGTAAGGAATTAACATTTAGACTAAGGTGATTGTTTTCTTGCCTTTACATTATATGATATAAATGATATTAGAAGGATACTTGACAATTTCTTGTTGTCTGTTCTTAAGTTCTTAAGATTTACCTGAGTAAATCTTAGTATATATTTCAAATAATTTTTGTCTAATGGTGATTTTTTTGTTGGGTTAGGTAATACAGAGAAATTAAGATCCCAATTTGGTAAAATTATGCGTGTTATAGATTCATATATAATAAATCAAGTTAAAAAATTTAAAAGTTAATTATGATCATAATTTACATCATTATCTTGGTTGTTGGCACTTAGCATTTCAAGGAGATTTTTCTTCAATGTAATGATATACAATTTGGTATAGTGTATAAGATAAAATGAGAGAAGTTATGTTAAGGTTTTATAACTTTAGATTTTTTTCCCTGTGGAGGACTAGAATAATTTAACAAGATTGATTTAATATAGTAGGTCAGTTTTTTTTTTTAAACCTAAAACTTATTTTCTTTTGAAATCATTTAAAGATCACATATTCCCTTTCCACTTGTTAGGTGTTGGAGTGTGGAGTTTGTGAAGATGTCTTTTCTTTGCAAGGAGACAAAGTTCCTCGTCTTTTGCTTTGTGGCCACACAGTTTGTCATGACTGTCTCACCCGCTTACCTCTTCATGGAAGAGCAATACGTTGCCCTTTTGATCGACAAGTAACAGACCTAGGTAGGAAAACATATGTGTATGTATGTATTAAAGATTTTGACACGGTTCATGTAATTCAAATGGGGAAAAGTTTATTTAAAATTGTAATTTTTTTAAATTGTAAAACTCCAAAGAGGCTACAGTTCTATTAAGGCCAGTTATCTAAGGCCACTCTTACTAATTTTAGTTAATCTTGTAAACTGTTTATATTCAATACTTATGTATGGAGAGCTTTAAGACACCCAAGAAAACATGCTAACTAACCTTATTGACAGAATTGAGAATGCTAATTTTCCTGAGGCCATTAAATTCAACAAAATGAAGTCACCTTTATAAACCAAGAAGCCATAGTGAAAATACAAACAAATAAGTCTGAGCATACTTTTGTTTACTGATATCAGAAAAAGAAGTGATTTTATTATTTGATAACTATTTGCTATAAAAGTGTGTTTGAATCACTTGTGGATTTTTTTTTTTCAGTTGCTGCATATTTTTAAAACTATGTATTTTTAAAATGAAGTATTGCCTTGGGATACCAGATTTGGAAATAATAGCGTTTCTTTAAATCTGAACAGTTATTTTAGAGACACAGTATAAATTTTATAAGTTTGTTCTTTTTGGTAACAGAATTTTCTCTAAAATGAATTGTTTAAAGTTGCCATTTTTTCCAGGTCAGTAGCACTGTTTGTTTAAAACTGTTTTAATGTTACTTGAAGATGTTTGAAATGATTTGTCCAACAAAAGAAGCAAAAATAACAAAAGCACCCAGATTTTTAGGTTAGAAAGCTTTAAAATGCTAAAAAAACATGTTTGTAAAAAAAAAGATTTATTTTTTACTTATTTATGTATACAAGAACTGGGGTACAGGCCAGAAGTGCAGGGGGTGAGAGGATTCACCGGAGACAGAGTGTGGAGCAGAAGAGGCAGATGGACGAAGTACACTGCTGCGGGGAGCAGCGGGTGGGCTGCTGCACCATGTGGGTCAGCTCCCTGGCAAGGGCTAGAAGTTAGGCCAGCTATGGTTGGTGATTGCTTGATAGCACTGAGACTTTAACCCCTGCACCATCAGGGAGGCACTGTAAATTGTTTTCTTACAGGGAGAAAATAGATATTTTTAAGATTTTGGTAATCTTTGGTTTAAATTTGTCTGCCCATACAACTAATACAGCATTATTATAGGTAATATTAACATAAGCAAAGAAATAATTTGGGTGAAAGCAGATGTCCCTGTCATGACATTTTTTTATTTAGCTTTTTATTATGTGAGATATGTGTGTACTTTTTAAAAACATAAAACTATATAAAAATTATAATGTTTTTCAAAGTGAACTCTCTAAAATACCACAATGTGAGATCATAACCTTTCTTGTTTTCAAACCCTGAGATTGTTCTATGAGCAAACAATAAATTTTGTTGTTTTAAAGACATTGAAATTTTAGAGTTTTTGGACAGTTATGTTTTTATTAATTGTTACATTAGCAATGGATAGATATTGCCTTCATATTGCTAGGTGTACATATCATATAATAATTAATAATCAAGGCAATGTATTTATTGTGTACTTCTTAGCGTTTAATGTAGTAGAATCAATAGAACTTAGCTTGTGGTAGAATGGATGCGAAAACTTAAGGCGAAAATCTGGTGATGTGGCAAGACTAAGGGAAATGCTCAGTGGACTGCTTAAATGTTATTTGGGAAAGTAGGTCACATAAATCAGTGGAGAACCAAGAGGAAGGAAACAAAAGGAAGGAAAGCTTGCAGTCAACAATCCCATAAACCATTTATTTTTTATTTTATATCCATTACTTCATATACTGAATATGGGAGCTATTTATCAGGTGCTATTTGTTTTTATAGAAGCTCAACACGATGACATTCTTTCTGGGTGCTGTGCTTTAACCCACGTGCCACCAGGGAGGGCCCTACACGATGACATTCTTTCTGATAGACACCATTGCTTTTAACTGCTGAGGGATCTGGATTTTACTTACATGCTTAGGAAGAGTTTGTGTGTTTCTGAATGCTTTCACATATGCATGCTTGTCCAACCTTTTATGGTTGGTTCTGGAGAAAAGAAGCATTGGTCCTTATTCAGATGTACCTAGTTCTACCTTCTAGACCTTACTTGTGTAAGGCTCTCTGTTTGCATAGTAAAGAATTTACATGGTTATTGACTGTCATAGAATCCTAAATTAGTAAAGAATAGGGAAAAATATTGTTAGCTGTCATAGTTTTAGTTTACTTAGAGAATTTTAAAGTATGTTAGTATTTGGAATCTTGAGTTCTGTTTTTAAAAAGATTATTAATAAGATAATTTTTAAACTTAGATTATTAATAAGATAAACTAGGGAAATTTGAATTTTTTAAATTTGAACACAAGTGATTATTATACTGTATGACTTAGAAATTACTATTGAAATCTTAGATTAAATTATTAATATTTCATTTGTTTAGATTAAGTTTTTAATCTTTCATATTCCAGGAGATTCAGGTGTGTGGGGATTGAAAAAGAATTTTGCTTTATTGGAACTTTTAGAGCGACTGCAAAATGGACATGTTGTTCAATATGGAACCGCAGAAGAAACCATTGGGATATCTGGAGAGGTATTGATTGAGCTTGGTGAAATATTTTTATTGGTGGGAATTTTTTCTTTAACTTAAATTATTTGGCATTAGAAGCACAATTTTACCTCACTTCAGCAGATAGGATTTCAGAAGCAAGTTTTATTTTGTTGCAGTTTTGAAGGCAATTATATTTGCAAAAGAACAAAAGTAAAACTGAAACCTGAACTTCTGAAATGACTGTTTCCAAACCATGATTTATGTTTAAATTTGTCTCCTTATCATAATTAATTTTTACCAAAGGATAAACTGAAAAGGTAAGGAAATGATGGGAAGGCAACAAGTATATCGTAAGCCACAGTAAGGCAGAAGATACAGAAGTCAATCAGTCAACACAAAACACAAAAGAGGATCTTTGTGAAAGAGACCATTTGTCTACGTAGGAACAAAATGCCTTTTAAAGATAGCAGTAGCTCCCAAGGGAATGATTACCATTAAAGACATTTCGAAAAACGTTAAATTATGTGTGGGTATACTCTTTGAACAGGCAGGTCTCTAATAAGTATAACAAGAAAGTTCTTTAACATAGGTTAAAATACATTTTTGACTCTTAATTGTCTGCATAGCTCATGTCCTAAAAACAGGACATGAGTTTTGAACTGTTGTGGATTTAAGAATAGTTCTAAGTACATTTAGTAATGATTTTGGCCAACTACATGCTTAATAGCAAGAAATAAATGTCAGATTGATTTCCATTTCTATTAGAGCATGATTTATATAAGATGAATCAGTGAAATGAATTTGAAACTGAAGCATTATTTCCTAAATTTTTGCATTTTTTTTTTAGATTTATTTATGCATTCAGAACTGGGGTACAGGCAGGAGGTACCTGGGTAGTTAGGGGATTCACCAGAGACAGTGGGGAGCAGAACAGGCAGATTGACTAAGTAAACTGATGAGCAGTGGGCGAGACAGGAGAGGTCTGCTGTGCCATGTGTATCACCTCTGGGGCTGGGATCCAAGGAACCAAGGAACTCGCACTGAAGTTGCTTAACCTAAGCGACCCGGCCAGCTTTGCAGTGCTGTGCTTTAACCCACTGTACCTCCAGGGAGGGTCTAAATTTTTGCATTTCTTTCTCATGCTATATCTTTCTTCTTTTTTCAAAAGTCATTAGTCTGTTATCTAATGTTGACCTTATAAGTTATGTCAGGGCAGGAAAACAAAATATATATCAGGTTGGGAAAACGAAAGACATGAGTTTTTTATTTCACATTTACAGATATATTTCTCACAGCTGTAAACTCTTTAATTTTGGGTTCATTTCTCATTTAATTGAAAGAACCCACCAATATATTTTTTAGTTTTTACTTCTAGAAAACTTATACCAAATTTCTTCCTTTTCAATATGGCCTTTTAATGTTCAGCAAAAGTTTTTAAAATATTCTTGACTATGTCACATGAAAATTTTCCAATTTAAAATGTGTTTTAATAATCAATGAAAATTAGAAATAATATTTAAAAAGTCAATAAAATGTAGATTTTTTTTTTTAACTTGTTAGTTTAAATCACTATTTTCAAGCAAGCTTACCTGTGGAACATTAGGAAGAAACCACAGAAGCCCAGGTTTCACCCGTGACCTATTGAAACAAGAATTACCTAGTTGGAACCTGGGTTCTGTGTGTTTTAAAACTTCACAACTGATTCTTTCTAAGCCCCTTGTTATCTAAAGAGCATTTGTGCTTCTCTTCTTCTTGATTACCATCATAAGTATTATTTCAAGTATTTGGGTATATACTTAATATCAGACATATTTAGTCTTAAACTTTTAACTTCTATTTCAGGTTCATAGGTTTAAAATAAGGACAGGGTACTTTGTGGAAGATATTGTGCTGTCTTAGTCTATGAGAATAGTTTACTTTTGGCCTCAAATTCATAGTATATATTGGTAATAAATCTCAGAAATAACATCTCACCCATCTAACTGAATATATTCTTAGGTGAACAAAAAAAAAATTGTCAGTGTATTTTCTTATGGAAAGGCTGATGGGTTAAAACAAAATTAGGGCTTTTATATTTCAAAATTTGTCATGATTAATGAGTGGGGTTCAGTTTTAAGACATCAGTTTTTTTGTTTATCAGAGCATCATTCGTTGTGATGAAGATGAAGCTCATGTTGCATCTGTGTATTGCACTGTATGTGCAACTCACTTGTGTTCAACGTGTTCCCAAGTTACTCATTTTACAAAGACACTAGCTAAGCACAGACGAGTGCCTCTAGCTGATAAACCTCATGAGAAAACCATGTGCTCTCAGCATCAGGTGCACGCCATTGAGTTTGTTTGCTTGGAAGAAGGTTGTCAAACTAGCCCACTTATGTGCTGTGTCTGCAAAGAATATGGAAAGCACCAAGGTCACAAGGTATGATTATAGTTTTTCAGCATGAAAAGAAACAGGAGGTTTAATTTTGGGTTGTCTTAAAAATCTCAGAGACGTCATGATCTTTTCCTTCATTGAAAGATAACTTTTCAGCAGGAAATAGTTCTTTTCTTCATGTGCATGTTTTCATAATACACTGGCTTGTTTTAACAGTATTTATATCTACTGACATCTAGTAGATATTTATATTTGTTGCTTATGATAAAACTTTAGAGAAAGTCTCTTGATTCTTGTTCATTTAGTAATAAATAAACTTCAAAATTTTAAATGATTTAGTTGCACAACAGTTTTCTTACAAAGGGGTGAAGGCATTTTAAAATATTTTGCCCTTTTTTTTTTTAAAAGAACATTTTTTTTTTTAAAGATTTATTTATTTGTGCATACAGAACTGGGGTACAGGCCAGAGGCTCAGGGATGGTGAGAGGCTTCACCAGAGACAGAGTGGGGAGCAGAACAGGCAGATTGACGAGGTACACTGCTGAGGGGAGCAGCGGGCGGGTCAGGAGAGGTCTGCCACGCCATGTGGTCACCTCCGGGGCAGGCGGGGATCGAACTCATGTGGAAGCGGCTCTAGATTCTCAGTGCTGTGTTTTAACCCGCTGCGCCACCAGGGAGGGCCCTATTTTGCCCTTTTTTTTAAAGATTTATTTATTGCATAGAAGAAGTGGGGTATAGGCAAGATGTACGGGGGTGAGAGGATTCACCAGAGGCAGTGGGGAGCAGAACAGGCAGATGTGTAGGAATATCTGCTAAGGAGAGCTGTGAGCAAGATAAAAGTGGTCTGCTGTGCCATAGTATGTATTAGCTCCCTCACCTGGCATGGCCTGGGAAACTCAGACTGTCACAGTGATGGCGCTGAAAATTCACTCCTAGCCCAAGAGGGAGGCCCTATTTTACCTTTTCATGCTATGCTTTTTCTAAATGTGTTATAAAAACTTGTGACAGATTATTAAATAATTCTTTATGTCATTAATCAATACTGTGAGTCCTTTTCTATAATTATGTTGCATTTTATAGCATTCAGTGTTGGAACCAGAGGCTAACCAGATCCGAGCATCAATTTTAGATATGGCTCACTGTATACGGACGTTCACTGAAGAAATTTCAGATTATTCCAGAAAATTAGTTGGAATCGTTCAGCACATTGAAGGAGGAGAACAAATAGTAGAGGATGGAATTGGAATGGCCCACACAGAACATGTATGGATTTTTTCCTCCTTTTACCTTTCTATCCTTTTCCTCCTCATTTTTTAATTTACTAATATTATTGAGTACTTACATGTGCCAGTACTGTAATTATCACTGGAAATAAGTTTTTTAAAAGCTTCTATTTTCATGGAACATCATGGAAGAGAGATGGTTTCAAGTGTGATAGTTTTGCGTGGTAAGTACAGCATGATTTGGCACTGCGTAAGAGGCACAATAATCTAGGTGAATCAGGAAAGTTTTCCTAAAAGATGTAATATCTGAACTGAAATTTGAAAGGCCTTGGAGTAAGTGGTCCCAGAGAGGGAAATGTATGTTGTTAATATCTATAAGTGAAAATTGTACATATTGTAGAAACTTAAACATGTTAACTATGTTTGGAGCTTTGAGTGGAACATAGCAAGAAAAGCGGTTTGAAGAGTTGAGAATCAAATTCTGTCAGATCTTATTAACCAAGTTCAAGAGTTTGGTCTTTGCCTAAATGACAGTGATGGGCCACTGAAGAATTGGCATAGAAACAACAACTAGATTTCATTAAGAAAGGTTGCTCTTTAATGTAAAAAAAAAAAAATTTTGAGGAGAAACAAGATTAGAAGCATGGAGTCTAATTAGGAGCTGAAATTATCAAGTTGAGGGAAGTTTACGGCCTCAATAGTGAGTATAGGAACAAGTAGATAGATTTGAAATTTTAAAGATATAGAATAAGTGGGACTTAATGATTGATAATATTGATTAGAAAGGTAACAGGAGGGGCAGTCACGATAAGCTAAGTTTCTACCTTGCTCTACTAATGGTCCATGATCTCATGGACTGATGGGAGAGGAGGAGGAGTTTGGGGAGGAATTAGTGGGACCTAGGTGATAAGTTTATTTTGCCTGTTGAGTTGTATTTTTGTGAAATAATCAGATGAAGATACTCCCAGTGAATTGAGTGAGTGGGTGCTGGGAAGTAAGAATGCCTAACTTGTAAGACGTTCAGCTATGAAAAGAAACCATGCGCTAAGGTGATAGTTCTCGTTGCTTTAAAAAACTTGAATTTTAGAGGATGAAGGAATCTTTTTGTTTTTTCCAATGGGAATGTATACTATAGAGACAAATAAGATGTAATGTTCTCTTTAATAAGTAAACAAATTTATAGCTAAATCATTGGGGAATGTTGCTGGAACTGCTTTGCTCACCATCGTGGCCACTAGCCACATATGACTATTTAAGTTTAAATTGTTTAAAAATTAAGTAAAATACAAAATTTATTTCCTCAGTCTCACTGTGTTTTAAGTGCTCAGTAGGAACTTGTAGCTAGTGGCAAACATAATAGTTAGCACCTATAGAACATCACAAAAAGACATGTTAGCCATTGTTATGCTAGAGTGGATATATTTCATTTATTCTCTCAGTGGATATTTATTGAACAATCAAGCTAAAACAAAACAAACAAACAAAAAAACACTGTATAAGCCAACCTTTCGGCCCTTGCAAAGTTTACATTCTAATATGGCTAGAGACACTAATAAAATACTAATAAAATAAAAACAGATGTTAGGAGCTTTGGAGAAAAATAATGTGAAAAGGTAGTATACTTTTTTTATGTGGAGTTCAAGGATTGACATCTTAGGAAAGGAATAATGAACAAGTACACAGTGGAACTAAGAAAGCAACATGCAAGTAAATAATGGCAGAGCATTCAAGGCAGAAAGACAAGCTAATGTAAAGATTCTTAAGTTTAAGTGTGCCTAACCAGCTGTAAGGAGACTAAGTATAGCTAGTGTAGAATGAATGAGAAGGAATGTAACGGAATTGATGATTAGAAAAGGCCATAAGGCACTTGTTCTTCTTTCTGCCCGGGAATGCTCTTTCCTGAAATAACTGCCTGTTCCTTCTTACTTTCGTCACGTCTTTGCTCACTTGTTTGACCTCAAGTCTGTCCATGAAAATCTTATATGATGGGTTTTGGCATTTACTTAGGCTGAGTGGCATGGAAAACCATTGGAGAGTTTTAAGCATAAGAATAATTATTTATCTGATCAACATTTAAAAGCACTGAAGCATATTATAGGGAATGAAATAATCTAGTGAGACCATTTATAAGACCATCAGATGAGAAATGACTTCAGATCAGGTTGGTAGCAGTGGGGTGGTAGGCCATATTCTAGATGTATAGCAGGCCCTCAAATAGTGTCATTGCATAGTAATGCTGATGAGAAAAACAATCCCAGCCAAATTAAATTCAACCTGCTTTCATTGTAAGTCATTTTGTTTAAGTTTAGAAAAACCTGGTGATGACATTAAAAGCGGACTTACAGCTTGAAGTCAGCAGAATTTGCTGTGGGAACTAGTTGTAGGGTACAAAAGTTTTTTACTTGAACAGCCCTGGCAAGGGTGGATTTGCCAGGTATTGAAATGCCATGTATTGAAATGGAAGATAGGTGTTTTATTTTACTTGTTAGGGCTTTTAAATAGTGTGATAGCCAAAGGCTGTGGTTAAGGGAAAAGATCTAGTGTGGAGAAACAAATTTGGAATTTATAAAGATATAGATCTAGTATTTAAATTTTCATTATTTCATATATAAAATACTTAAGGTAATATTACTTAAAAGTTACTTTTATTTCCTTAGGTACCAGGTACTGCAGAGAATGCCCGGTCATGTGTTCGAGCTTATTTTTCTGATCTGCATGAAACTCTATGTCGTCAAGAAGAAATGGCTCTAAGTGTTGTTGATGCTCATGTTCGAGAAAAACTGATTTGGCTCAGGCAGCAACAAGAAGATATGACTATTTTGTTGTCCCAGGTTTCAACGGCCTGTCTCCATTGTGAAAAGACTTTGCAACAGGTAGAGAGTTTACACATGCTTAGAACATAGTTTAAGAAGGAGAATTTATAATATTAGACATAACTAGACATATACACTATTCTATTTTATTAATTTGGTGTTTGCATGTCTACTTCATGCACTAAAGAGCAGAAGATATAGTCTCTAACCTCATTTTATTCCACCAACCTCTTATCAGTGGCTTCTTTTTTTTTTCTTTTTAAAGATTTATTTGTTTATGTATACAGAACTGGGGTACAGGCCAGAGGTACACGGGTAGTGAGAGGATTCACCAGAGACTGAGTGGGGAGCAGAACAGGCCAACTGATGAAGAACGCTGCTGAGGGGAGCAGCGGGCGGGTCAGGAGAGGTCTGCCGCGCCATATGGATCACCTCTGGGGCAGGCAGGTGATCGAATTCATGCAGAGGTGGCTTTAGCTTCTTAGTGCAGTGCTTTAACCTGCTGCGCCACCAGGGAGGGCCCCAGTGGCTTCTTTATGGGCCATAAAACTGTGCGTACTTCAGTCATGCCAATCCAAAAATTGTACTAGTCATGTACTATTTTTTCTGTTTAGTGGGTTAGTAGCTTTCTTTTCTGGTAGCAGAAGTCCTTCAAAATCTAGCTCAAATGTTTGCTATTCTTTGAAGTTCTCTTTCTTTTGGCCAGGTGATGCCTCTCTAGCATGTACTACCTATGTTTGATATCAACAGCAAGCCTGGTTTTAATGATTGAGGTACCCAAACAACTCATTACCCAGTTTGCAGATTACTTACTTTTGAAATAAATTAGATTTAAAGTTGTTTGTAACAAAAATGTCAGTCATTTCTATTTTAGATGTGCTTTGATGAGTGGGTGATATAAAAACCAATCATTGCCATATGAATTCCAGATAAGCTGCATTCTGTCTCATTTAACTGATGCACATATGCAAATTATTGTGTTGATTTCAAATCATTTTAGCGCTAAATCTTCTAGCAGTTTAGTGTTTCCTCTTAAATAAGATATCCGATAAGACACATGAATGTGGCCAGGCTGTAAATACTTCATTTTGTGATATCATTTTGACCTTGTCACATTGAGGAATAGTTAAAGAGGCTTTTGTGGCCGGAATAGAGTAAGTGCAAAGAAAGTATTAGAAAATTAGTGGTTGTTGTATTTTTGAAGGCCCTATACGCCATGGAAGGACTTGTACTGACTGAAATGGGAAAATCATTGGTTTTGAGGGTTAGAATGATTTGATCTTACTTGTTTAAACGACAATTTTGCTATGTACAAGTCAGTTGACAAGGGCAAAGATGGAAGGATTTCAATAGTGAGGCGGCTTTGTGAATTCCAGGTGAAAGATAATAGTGGATTGGATAGTACGGGTTAGGCTCAGATTCTTGTTATCAAGTAGGATTTGTTGATGAATCATGTGTGGGCATGAAAGAATAGAAGGTAAGAATGACTTCAAGATATTTTTTCTGAACAACTTGAGTGATGGAATTCCTGTCAGCTAATTTGAATATATAACTGGGCAACAGACAACACTGCTCCTTTCAGAGCTTAAATATTGTTTGTTGATCTCTGGCATGTGAAGACTGTGTTGGTGGTGTATGCTTAAATATTTCTGAGTTATTTGTGAAACTGGAAAATATTTGACATTGAGGAAGGCCTTTCCAGTTTGATTTTTAATCCTTTTAGTTTTTAAACCAACTTGTCCATATCTTAAATTAGTTTAAAAACTTTTTATAGATGTACAACATGCATACAGAAATATGTATTTAAGGGTTCAGTTGAATGAAATTGCAGACTAGATATTAGTGTCTCATCAAATCAAGTGACAGGAAATTACTAGTACCTTAGTAATTACCCACCTTTCTTCATAAGTATAAATTACTATCTGGACTTCTAATACATACCTTATTTTTGTTTGCATTGGTAATATAAATAGAATAATATTATATGAATTCTTCATGTTATTTTTTTCATTTATTCCCTAATATTTGTGAAATTCATGTCATCTTATGTAATTTTGGTTTATTTTCATTGCAGTGTGGTGTTTTATTTATAAATATATAATACTGTACTATTCATTCTTCTGTTGATATGCTTGTAAATTATTTATTAGTGCCCTTTTATTTTTCTGGTCAAATTTATATTTGAATTAACCTTTAGTACTGTAAAGTTCAGTGAACTTTCTCGAGTTTTGATGATAGCTTTTTCTTTATTTTTCTTTAACATGTTTATAAGAGAAACTGTGGTTGGCTTTTTGTTTTTCCCAAGGATGATTGTAGAGTTGTCTTGGCAAAACAAGAAATTACAAGGCTATTGGAAACACTGCAGAAACAGCAGCAGCAGTTTACAGAGGTTGCAGATCATATTCAGTTAGATGCCAGCATCCCTGTCACTTTTACAAAGGTAATGTAACACACTTAATTTTTATGTCTTCTGACAAATCATGTTTTACATTATAAGATAATCAGCTTGAAGAGACAACTAAGAAAAATGGATCATAAAATTAAACACAAATAATATTTCTTAGTGGTAACAAGGTAAATAATGAATCTCTATGTACCCATAACCCACTGTAACAATTAGGAACTTTTATTTCATCTTTCCTTTTCCCCAACCCCCATTCTGCCTAGTCCCAGGTTATTTTGGAACATACCCTAACCTACCATTTCATTCTAACATAGTCATTTTATCTGTGAAGTAGTTTAATGTGTTTCTCTAAAAGGTAAGGGCTCTCTTCATTGTCTAGAGTATTGACCATTACATCATGGGGCAAGGCAAGGGCTCTTTTTAAAAACATAATCAAATATTGTTATACCTAAAAACTTAATAACTCTCTAACATCCATTATTTAGTTAGTATTTAAATTTCCCAGATTGTTACAGAATTTTATTTTTAAATTGTACATGTTGAGACTCTGAACAAGACTTGTAATTGGCATTCGGTCAAAAATTTTGGTCAATTTTACAGTGATTTCCCCCCAATCTAAAACATTCCATTTGTTTCATTGCTTTCTATGTGTAGAGTTTTTTAAAAAATGTTTTATGATTATATGAAACATAATCACATTGTCCAAACTCAAAGCTACAAAGCAAGGTTCATTCAATAAAGTCTAATGTTTATACCTGACTCCTCCATCCTTTTTCCTTTCTTTCCTCTAGAAATACATCGAGCTTCTTGACTCTTGTATTTTTGTCTCTTTGCTTATATTTTGGAAGTTTTCAGCCATTATTTCTTCAAGTGATCTCTCCTCTCTCCATTTCTTTTTCTCTTGTTCTTGGATTCTTACAGTGTATATTGGCCTACTTCATAGTGTCCCAGAAGTTCCTTAGATTCTTTATCTTTGCTTTTCTTCATTTTCATTTTGTACTTCTGACTCAATTTCAAATGACTTCTCTAAAGTTTGTGGAATTTTTTTCCTCTGCTAATGAAGTCTGTTGTTGAAACTGAATTTTTCTGTAGTTATTCTGTTTTTAGTTAAAGAACATCTACTTTTTAATTTTTGTTAAACCTTTATTTTCTTACATTGTTGTTCACTTTTGTATAGTATTTCATTTCTTCCCTCGTGTGGTGCCCATAAATTTCCCCACTATGCCATCTCCTGTGAACCACCACCATAGTCTATTGTGATCTTCCTCCTGTTTTGACCTCTTACCTTCTGTCCCCTGCTATATGTCCCTGATCTATATAGTTTGTCTGCAAGTGTCATCTTTTTTCTGACCCTTTGTTCAGTTTCCCTATATACCTACTGTAAGTGAAACATTCTTTTTGCTTCTGACTTACTTCACTGAGCACAATCCCTTCCAGCTCCATAACTGTTGCTGCAAATGGCATGAGTGTCTTTTTTGATTGCTGAGTAGTATTCCATAGCCACTTGATCCATTCAACTGTTTGGGGCTTTTAGTTTGTTTCTATATTTTAGCTATTGTAAATAGGCAGCAATAAACACAGGAGTACAAGTTTCCTTTTGAATTAATATTTTTAAGTTTCTCATTTTGTCCATTGTTTTTCTCATTTTTTTACTTGTACTTCTTGATCATCTGTATGGTAGTTTTTTTTTTTTTTTTTAAAGATTTATTTATTTATTTGTGCATACAGAACTAGGGTACAGGCCAGAGGCTCAGGGGTGGTGAGAGGCTTCACCAGAGACAGAGTGGGGAGCAGAACAGGCAGATCGATGAAGTACACTGCTGAGGGAAGCAGCGGGCGGGTCAGGAGAGGTCTGGCTCGCCATGTGGTCTCCTCCGGGGCAGGCGGCAGGCGGGAATCGAACTCATGCGGAAGTGGCTTCAGATTCTCAGTGCTGTGCTTTAACCCGCTGCGCCACCAGGGAGGGCCTGTATGGTAGTTATTTTAACTTATAGTCAACTCATAGGTTCATATTTCTACAAGTTCAGTATTTAAATTTTATTATCTTCCTTTGATTTAGTCATGCTTCCCTGTTTCTTTGTATACCTTGTGATCTTTTGTTTAGATCATTTGGAGCAACAACCATCTCACCCAATCTTTTTGGGTGGGTTTCATGCATTGGACAACTGTAATTTGTGAGTCTTGTGAGAGATTCTAGAAGTCCACAAAGCTTTTTCTGAGAATGTATCTTCTGGCCTTGGGCATGTGTTTTTTGTCATTTCAAATTCTCTTAGCAGCTTTTCCCTACATCTTCTCATAAGTTAATAATTTATTCCCCATTATGACGCCCTAGAGAATGGCAGCTCTGACATGTCATGTGCTTGACTCTGCTTACAGTGGTTTCCAAACTATGTCACTAGTCCCTCAGAGATTATAGTCATACGAGATAGAATCAAGTGTCTAGGGCTGTCCCTAAAAAAAGCCAAAAATCAAATGCTTAGTTCATATTTTATTTCTGTCTCAAGGAAAGAGGCTGGCATGAAAGCTTCCCTTCCAGTTCCACAATGCTGCCCTGGGTAGGGATAGAAATTCTGTTTTCCTAGTTCCATTGCTGGAATCTCATCTTGGTTTTATTTTGCCTTGTCTGCTAGTATAGCAATTCACAGAGGTATTCTGGTCCACATAATGTATTATTTCTGAGGTGTAGCAATGGACTTGAGTGTAGAATTGGGAGAATATGTTATATAGATTATAACTGAAGCACACAGAGGAAATGAATATGTATAATGAGAACTTGGCCTAATGTAGACTCTGAAAATTATCAACATTTAAGATACGGATAAAAAGAAAATGGGAGTGAGTATACGGTAAAGTGGGATAAAAAACCAGGAAAATTCTGTTTCATAGAAGCCATAAAAAAGAGTGTTTAAATAATGAATAATACTTTTGCTGGCACTTGCTTAGTAGTAATCAAATGGGAACAACTGTTACAAGAATTTTTTGTTATATTTTAAGAAATTAATCCTTGCAAAAACTCTGAATAAATTTGGTATTATTTTATCCTTATGTATAGATGAGAGAAATAAGGCAGAGTTCAGGTTGCTAGTTACATGCATAAGTATGTTCATTGCATTATTTTTAGTATCAAAAAATAGAGATGACTTAATGGCTGCCAGGTGGTAATTGAGTAAACTGTGGTTCATAAAATATAGTATGTTTTGAAATGTAAAGATTCCAATAATGTTGAATGTAAAAGTTTGCAGTATTTTTATTTTTTAATTTGCAATATTTAAAAAAAATATTTCTTTTGTACATGTTAACCAATGATTATGTAGGCAAGTGGTAGAAATACCTGAAATTGTTAAAAAAAATTTTGGTATGTAAGTGGTAATTTTCATTTTATATTAATATATTTAACACAGCATGAAATATTTAGGCTAAGTTGACCTAGAAAATTTGGAAAAACGTGTATGTGTACATTTTTTTATATATTTATTTTTTACTATTGAAAGTTTATTACTGAGAGATTTAGCAGTGAGGAATAATTCATCTTTGAGCAGATCAGATTCAAGGTATTTAGTAACAATTCATATTTCAGTGAGTTGAGAAATGAATAGAAGACAAAGAAATAATAACAAATACTTTCTACCCTCATATCAGAATTAATAACAAATATTTTCTACCTTCATATCAGAATTAAAAGATTAAATTTTTTTAAATTATAGGACAATAGAGTTCATATTGGACCAAAAATGGAAATTCGAGTTGTTACATTAGGATTAGATGGGGCTGGAAAAACTACTATTTTGTTTAAATTAAAACAGGATGAGTTCATGCAGCCTATTCCAACAATTGGTAAGTATGAGTATTGCTTTTTTTTTTTGAAGATTTATTTATTTATGCATACAGAACTGGGGTACAGGCCAGAGGTGCAGGAGCAGCGAGAGGCTTCACCAGAGACAGAGCGGGGAGCAGAACAGGCAGATCAATGAAGTACAGTGCTGAGGGGAGCAGGGGGCGGGTCAGGAGAGGTCTGCCACGCATGTGGTCTCCTCCTGGGCAGGCGGGAATCGAACTCATGCGGGAGTGGCTTTAGCTTCTCAGTGCTGTGCTTTAACCTGCTGTGACACCAGGGAGGGCCGAGTATTGCTTTTTACATAGATTTTTAATTATTCTTTTTTTTAAAGATTTATTTATTTACGCATACAAGAACTAGGGTCTAGGCTAATGGTGTGGGGTTAGAGGCAGAGACAGATTGGGGAGCAGAACATGTGGATCTACTGAAATATAGTGTTGGAGGGGAGCAGTGGGCAAGAGAGAAGAGGTATCCTGTGCCATGTGAGTCAGCTCTCTGGCCTGGGATCAAAACTCATGCTACAGTGGCTGACAGTAGCTTGATGGTGCTGAGACTTTCCTCCCTGTTCTACCAGCAAGGCCCAAATGGATATTTTTATAGTACATCTTATTTTCCAACTGAGTTCTTTAGATCTTACTGCAAATCTGGCGTGGCAATAGACTTGTCTGTCTCCAAATACTAGCATTTCAGAAGAATTATAAGATTCAGTGATAGTGGGGTCAAAATCTGGATGGCTTAATAGTAACAAAGAACACAGTGTTTTTGGAACACTTGTAAGGAATAAAGTCACTGGGGGCCCTAATGCAGGTTTTGAGGGCTAATTGCTCTGAAAGGTGTATACTTCTCATACAGGAGTAGAGTTGATCATGCACAGTAGATAGTGTTGTGTGAAGATACATGTTAAGTCACAGTTACAGAGAGTTGCCTGTATTTTGTGTGTCGTTTATTTAAATAAAAGCTTAATATTAAAAACTTAAATATTAAAGTAACTTTTTTTTTTAAACAGGTTTTAATGTGGAAACTGTAGAATATAAAAATCTAAAGTTCACTATTTGGGATGTTGGTGGGAAACATAAATTAAGACCATTATGGAAACATTATTACTTCAATACTCAAGGTAAGAATAAAAAAATGACATCTTAATTTTTCAGTGTTTTGGGGTACCAGTTTTCAGTACCTTGATTTAGCTGATAAAGCTGACATTTGAGCAAGTATTAAATACTTGATTATGTCCCTAAATACTGTTACTCAAATTCACATTATTTAAAAAGTGAAGTTGGAAAGACTGGAATATATGTTTATTTCTTGAAAATCCAAAATTGCAGCATAAGGCCATACTTAACTGAAATATGTAAGCAGTTAAGAGTACTTACCTTGCTGCTCCTAATAATCATTAGTGTTCATAATGAATTTGAGCACTAGCTTATTGTGGTATTGGATACAATTTGTGGCATGTGCTCCTGTTGTTCAATTATAATTTCATTTGTCCAGTTATAATTTCTCAATAGCTGACTCCTTTATTTCCATTCATAATTAATATCTGCAGAAAATCTACAGTAGCATACTTTGGACCAAACATATCCCATATAGTCTGTCTACCATGTGTTTACATGTGGACCCATGCTATGCTTTTGTGTATATATTTGTATTTTATTTTAAAGATGTATTTATTTATGCATACAGAACTGGGGTATAGGCCAAAGGTGCAGGAGTGGTGAGAGGATTCACCAGAGTCAGAGTGGGGAACAGATCAGGCAGATCAAGGAAGCACACTGCTGAGGGGAGCATCGGATGGGACAGAAGGGGTTTGTCATGCCATGTGGGTCACCTCCCTGGCTGGGGATCTAGCTTGTGGTGAAGCTGGTGTGGCGAGCTTCATGGTGCTGCATTTTAACCCACTGTGTCACCTGGGAAGGCCCCCATTCTATCCTTCTGCCTACAGTAAATCAATGTGAAAGTTAATGTTTGTATTCAACTTTCCACCTAAAGGGATTAATTATTTTTACTTTGGGATATTTTATATTAAATTTTTGAGACACTGATTAAGATAAAAAATGAAATGCTGAATGTGAAAGTCTGAAAATGTCTGAACTACTAAGAGGTAGCTGGAAAAATTTCAAGAGAATGATTCAGTAGATAATTATGAAGTTTCTGCTATGTATTTTGAGTATAGTCAATGTGAAAATTGCTGTATGGTGAGCTAGAGAGAATAGTTTGGGGAGATAAAAATGGGGATTTATTTAAGATAATCTTTTGGTAAAGGAAATAGTAATTATAGAATATGTAGCATTAGTAGGTAGAATTTCATGAGAGGTACGTTTCATTCATTTAAAGAAAATAATTGATATACAAGGCAATTATGTTTGGTAGAAGATATGTTGTAAATCCTTTTATGAAGGGGAAAAGGAAAACCAAAAAGGTCTGTGAACTATTTGAGATCATACTGTTAAATATTGCTATATTATATATTTTACTATCTATATAACATTTTTATATTATTCTGTAAAAATAGCCTTGAAAATAGTGATAGTAGTGAAAATAGTGATGGTAGATCAGTTCTAACCATAATATAATAATGAGAACATTAAAATGTTTTGTCCATCAACTGAAACATAATATGCAACTAACTGAATCTTCTTTTTTTTTTTTTTGGTAGCTGTTGTATTTGTTGTTGATAGCAGTCATAGAGACAGAGTTAGTGAAGCACACAGCGAACTTGCAAAGTTGTTAACAGAAAAAGAACTTCGAGATGCTTTGCTCCTGATTTTTGCTAACAAACAGGTAACATGTTTGTACTTTAGAATACTTACTGTAGTAGTTTTTTTTTTTTTTTTTTTTTGCAGCCTATGAAATAAAGTGGCTGGAAAGAGTTCAAAAGAAATCAGATCAATTGATATTTGTTTCTGCTATTTGAAGATAGTCTATGTGGAAGGGCTGTACTTGGTACCTTGGAGCATATAAAAAGAAATGAGAGTAGATTTCACTCTACTGGTGTATGTGTGTAAATATGTAAGTGACATATATGAAATTCTAATACTAAGAAACCAGGTAACTTTAGAAATATTAAAAAGTGTTAGGGGAAATTAGTGAGAAGAGTTTTAAAGGTGGTATTACTGGTAGTTGCTTCTGGGATGGAGGGGTGTTCAGGGTTGTTGGAGTGGGAATTTAATGAACTCTTCATTTTATAAGCACTATATATGCCATTTTTTATAGTATCTTTTAAATTGATGATTTGTGATTACTCAAGTATTTTTCATTCAGGCTAAGTTTTCATTAGAAGGCTGTCTTACAAAGTATATAAGTAAATAAATGATTTTAATCAAAAGTCCAATATTTTATTCTTAATCTGAAAATAATTCCTAAAAGAAGAATTTAGGTTTTAACTTTAGGCTTCTGTTGGAATATCAACATACTTATTATATATATAAATTAGAAAAAGGTAATTCTGATAACGGTCTGGTATGCATATATATCTTCTAGGATGTTTCTGGAGCTTTGTCAGTAGAAGAAATCACTGAACTTCTCAGTCTCCATAAACTGTGCTGTGGCCGTAGCTGGTATATTCAGGGCTGTGATGCTCGAAGTGGTATGGGACTGTACGAAGGGTTGGACTGGCTCTCACGGCAACTTGTGGCTGCTGGAGTGTTGGATGTGGCTTGATTTTAAAAGTGGCATTTGCTTAAAGTTTTGTGGTTAAGAGTTATTTTGCACATAATATGTTGTAAAAATTCTACATCTCAAAAGATAATATACGAGGTATATACAAAAGGAATCTTGAACTGGGATATCAGTATTGCTTCTTAAAAAACTTATGTAGCAAAAATTCAATTATCTGGTTTTGAAGATTAAACTGAATTAAATAGGAATTTCTTGCGTACTTTTAAAAATGTACTTAGGTTTTACATGTCATATGTGACCCATAGGCTGGGAAAGAAACAGAGAAAAAGGTAAGTCAAGACTTTTAAAGAAAAATGAATAGCCAACTAAGTACTTGCTGCCACCTCTGTGTAAAAGCAAGTGCAAGATAGTTTGCATTGAATTTTGGCAGTATTTAAATAGTAGCAAAAAGGCAATGACTTAATGAGATAAAATCCAAATAAATCTTTGGATAATAAGGGTTACATTTACCTGTTCAGTTTAACAGAACACCATTAATGCTAAAAACTAGAAGTTATAAGTAATTGATAATTTTATACAATGTTTTATTAAAACTGTATTCTAAGCATTTTGTATAAAACCCAGTGAGTCACAATAAAATGTTATCTAGGAAGAATGACAAAGCCCGATTGTCAGATTTGTATTTAACTGAAGAACAGTAACTAATACAACTGTGAAAATTATGATCTAGTTGATCTTCAGTTATGAAAAGTCTTATTTCCAAGGTTGAACCTGTATTATTTCCTAGGTCAGAACTCTAAATTGGTCCTTCTATTTTTCAACATACATAAAGACTTAGTGTATTATTTTAAATTAATATTGTTTTTTTTTTTTTTTTTATTGGGAATGACTATTCAAGGTAATATGTAGTTATACAAACCAGGGTTGGCTTTCGATGAGATGTAAATCTAAGTAGAAAACTATCTTTGTCTTCACGAAAATAATTTAAGCAATGTGTAATGCTTACTATATCAGTTCTTTAAAATGTTTCCCTAAAATTGGAGTATTTATCTTGACAATTAAATGTGATCAGTGTTCTTGATAAGGTTCTTGAAAAATAAGAGGAAGAACATGTCCAAGGAAGGAAAAGAAAAAATATTCAAAATATTTTGTGCTGTTTACTGGTTCATTTTTTAAGGATATCACCTTAGATACAAGTTATTTACATATAACTATATTGGGCTTTGTTTTTTAATGCTTTGTCATTTAAGATTAAATTAAAATCTCACTATTTGATCTGCTATATGGATACTGATGTGCTTTTAAGTGCCACTGTTTTAGTTCAGTGTCTTCAAATGTATTTTTTGTTAATGACAACAAAACTTTTAGAAAAGAGTTTTTTAAGTCTGATCAGTGTTATAGACACTGTAAATAGGTAAATATATTTCATCCTTTATTTATGGTTTGTCATAAATAGGTAAATATATTTCATCCTTTACTTTTCAAGTAAAAGGTCATATTGTTACAAGTGTAGTTTGTATAAGTAATACTTCTGAATTAAATTATTTAATATTTGACTGATTGCAGTAACTGTGAAAAATAAATAAGGTGTTGCATTTGCCTGTGAGCCCTTGAACTGTTCTTTACTAGGTAACTTGGGGAAAAAATAAAAAGGCTAACACTAACATGTGAATTTGCTTTCCTTGTAATTTATCCAGTTCATTCCACTAATTTTGCTAAAGTTTGTTAGACATTACAAAACACAATTTAAAAATCAAACTGTTGCTTAGACCTGACTATAACTTACAGTAGTAGTATTAGTGGTTTTCTTTTTTTAAAGAAATATTTTTCTTGTGTTCTTATGTTGTGGTTGTATTTTTTCACAAATCATAAGTTGTGCTAGTCCCTACTGGGAAATGTCAAATTTAACAATTGAGACAGACATTTAAAATGCAATCTACTAGGCTTCGCTTCCTAGCTCTCACTTTATGTATTAAGTCTAAATATTGCTGTATGGTTTGTGTAACAGATTTTTCAAATGTAAGCGCTGGTCTGTATTTATGGAATGCTGTATAATCACCAGAAGCCATTATATGCATTATATATATATGATCAGTATAGATAGCAATAAAATGTTAAAGTCATTTTAAAGAAGTCCTATCTTTATTCTATAAATTGTGTTTTTTAAACTATCTCTGTCACTAATAATCAGTTTTAAAGGCTATGTTTGTTGTGGCTAAAAGAATAAATGGTATAGGGATTGACTTACATGTCAAATTTGAGACATAGCTTTATTAGATTAAAAAAATAACTTATTCTGTACTTACAACACTAGTCACATATAAATACCTGCTTTGAAAGGCGAGTTAAAATTTTGCATTGAATAAAGTAAAACAATTGATTTTAAAATTTTAAATGTAACCTTGTTTCATGTAAGAAAGTAGCATTTTCAAAAAGCATTTCAAAAAATGGCTTGAAAAACTTTTGTGTATGTAAGGCTTTTTAAATGTGACATGGTGATAATTCTCAATTTGTAAAGCAGTAATATGAAAGAACATATTTTAAAGGAATAATGAATGAAAAGGACTAATCAATAAATACCAGATGGTATCTTGTATTTTTAAAGGAATAATGAATGAAAAGGACTAACCAACCAATAAATACCAGATGGTATCTTGCTAATATTATAAAAATGTGCTTTAAAAAAGTCATCAGGCAGATAGTAAATTTTATGTTCACAGAGAGAAAATTTGCTGTATAGAATGAAAAAATTCACTAATCAACTATGTTTATCTATCACTCAAAGTAAAATAATTCTGAGGGGGGAATACATCTTCACTACCACTTGGTGGCAGTATTACCAAAATTTATGAATTTGTTTCAAGAAAGAATACATACATCACTAGGTAATTCTAAATACTGGAAATTAAGAAGAAAATATCACAGTGAAAAGTTTCTTTTTTTTTAATGCATACAAGAACTGGGGTGCAGGCCAGAGGTGCAGAGGGTGAGCAGATTCACCAGAGACAGTGGGGAGCAGAACAGGTAGCATGACTCAAATACATTGCTGAGTGGAGCAGCAGGTGGGTCAGGAGAGGTCTGCCACGCTATGTGGGTCACCTCCCAGGCTGGGGATCAAACTGGTGCTGCAGTGTCTGTGGATAGCTTCAGTGCTGTGCCTTAACTCATTGAGCCACCAGGGAGGGTGCGAAAAGTATTTTATTTTTAAAGATTTATTTTATTTGTACATACAGAACTGGGTCTGGGTACATACAGCCCAGAGGCTCAGGGGCGGTGAGAGGCTTCACCAGAGACAGAGTGGGGAGCAGAACAGGCAGATCTACGAAGTACACTGCTGAGGGGAGCAGCGGGCAGGCCAGGAGAGGTCTGCCACGCCATGTGGTCACCTCGGGGGCTAGCGGGAATCGAACTAATGCGGAAGTCGAACTCAGTGCAGTGCTTTAACCTGCTGCGCCACCAGGGAAGGCCCAAAAAGTATTTTTAAGTCCAAGTTCTACTTCTAAAAAGCACAATTTGGCATGTTTTCCCATCTCACAAAGTTTGTGGTGCAAAATTACTAAAAAAAAGTAATCCTGCTTATCAGTAGAAGAGTGTAAGCCTGGAATTTAAAGTATAGGAACACAAACTCCCTAATAAAGAAGTCTGTTGAACATGTTCTTTCTGAGAGGGCTTGTATGTTATTTTTTTTGCTTGCCTAAAGACTGAGGTGATTTCATATAGACCTGTATTAAGTTTCAGGTATATAATACTGATTTTATATTTGTATATTACAAGAGTATGTCTGGAAACTAGAAATGATATTTCTTAACAGTTACACAGTAAATTGTCAGGGTAAGTAAAGGAATGAATACAGGACTTTGGACTCATTTTTTTATTGCTCTAATTGCTCATATTAATAGATATTAAAATTTTATGCAATACATGACTATCTAGATAATCTACTTAGTAAGTTTAGAAAAGAAACACTGTTGCTTGAGGACAGAAAAATTGCTTAGCTACAGTGGGGAAAGAATGTGAAAACAGTAAATGAATCAGTCCATAAAACCAAGAGCTCAGGTATTCACTTGTTCAATTCTTATATTCCAAAGAATATTTCATAATTAACACTGAAAAAAGTCATCCTATTTATTTAAATAAGATATACCTACCACTTAACAATAATCAAAAGACAGAACTATGGGGCCTTCCCTTGTGGTGCAATGGATTTTAAAAGGCAGCACTGCAAGCAAACCGCTGTCGCTTCAGTGCAAGTTTGATTGATCCCCAGTCCCAGAGGTGATCCCCACAGTGAAGTAGACCTCTCCTGGCCCACCCGCTGCTCCTCTCAGCAGTACACCTCACCAATCTGCTTGTTCTGCTCCCCACTCTGTCTCTGGTGAATCTTCTCACTGCCCCTACACCTCTGGCCTGCACCCCAATTCTGTATGTATAAATAAATCTTTAAAAAAGGGTATGTTTGTAAAGAACTAGGGAACAAATGTATACCACTCATACTTAATATAGTTTTAAGTCTTAAGGCAAACTTTTGTATGAGGAGTGTTGTTTACCTGATCTCACCTAAGATCAGAACACTAAAAAAACTTTAAGCAGAATTAAAACAAATGACCTTTAATGAAAATTTAAAAAATATAATAATATCCTTGAAACATAATTTGTATGTTCAACAATTCTTAAGAGTTTCCTAATATAAAATAATCCTAGGTTAACATGTATATTTTTTACTTACACATACAATGGAACAATTCTTACTTTACTTGACAGTAATATTTATGATGCTGACATCCTCATAGGGCTTATCTGTTTTGGGATTGACTTTGACGTTGGAGATTCTCTGTACAACTTCCATTCCTTTAGTCACTCGTCCAAATACTGTATGCTTATTATCAAGCCAAGGCTATGTTGAAGGACAAATGGAAAATCTTGGTAAACCTAAATTTCTTAAATGACACCTTCTAGAGTGAACAAATTAAAAATAATTTAAGTTTATGCTTTTTAAATACAATTTTTAAAAAATGTATAATTTCACTTAGTTTTAAGAGTAATTTCCTTGTTCATGTGGAAAAAATATAAAAAATGTAAGCATGATACTTAAATATCTTCATCTTTGAAAGCAAAGGGAGCTGGAAGATTTTTGCTATAGTTGTGTTTCCTTACATGGTTTAAAGAATTATTAGTAAAGCTTTAAAAATTCTTTGCTGGAATCCTACTTGCACAATTAAGAGGCAGTTTGGAATAGTTAAGCAACATTTTTTTTTGGCATTAGAGAGATGGGAGTTTAAATGCTGGCTCTGCTACTTACCTGACCTTTGACAAATCATCATATTTCACTATTATTAAACTCGATGTAGTCATACAAGAACTACTTTGAGTAGACAGTTGTAAATGTTTTCCTTCACTGATTAGTGCTTAGTTCCAAAAAGTATGTAGTTTTATAAATTTGTACTGCTAGAAATTCTTAAAACCATATTTCATCAAGTCTAAGATGCTATTGATTCTGGGTTGCATTCTAATTTCAGAGATATAAAATGTGGCATAAATGTCATAAAATTGAGAGTTCATATACTCTCCTCTGTCTACTCCAAAGATAACAAAACACGCCAAAGGCAGTAAGTTGTTTTGTTTTATACAATTAGTATGGCAAAGATGACTTAAATGTTTGAATGATAGAAGATTGTTTTACTAAGAAAACTCTCATAATTTTACATTTTTCTTCTCTAAGTTGTTTTCATTTTTTATCCTGGAAGGTATAATGGTAGACAATAATGCAGTTATTTCTTCCATTGAATTCATTTTTTTAGACTGTAACTTACAAACCTCTGACTCATAGATTGTGCTATCTGACTTACCGTTGGGACGACTGTTATGAAAAACTGGGACCCATTAGTATTTGATCCAGCATTGGCCATGCTGAGTGTATACGGTCTGTCATGACGTAATGTTGAATGAAATTCATCTTCGAATTCTCCTCCCCATATGCTTTCTCCTCCCATACCAGTACCTGTTGGATCTCCTGTCTGAATCATGAAGCCCTTAGTAGATAGAAAATACAGAAAAAAAAAATTACATTGCCCTTTTTAGACATGTTTTAGAGGCTTATCTACATTAAAGTTGTTTATATTAAAAAAATTAACATTAGGGCCCTCCCTGGTGGCGCAGTGGGTTAAAGCACAGCACAAAGACGCTTAAGTCACTTCCGCATGAGTTTGATCCCTGCCTGCCCCGGAGGAGATCCACATGGCGAGGCAGACCTCTCCTGACCCGCCTGCTGCTCCTCTCGGCAGTGTACTTCGTTGATCTGCCTGTTCTGTACCCCACTCAGTCTCTGGTGAAGCCTCTCACCCTCCGCATCTCTGACCTGTACCCCAATTCTGTACGAATAAATAAATCTTAAAAAAAAAAGAAGAAAAAAAAATTAACATTAAGTCACTTTATAAAGTGACTTTACTAGGTACTTAATTTATGTGATTTGGGTTATGTATTTCCATTGCTCAAATACTACTGTAAGTGATTGAAACAAAAATGCAAATGTCTTCTCCTTTATTTATACACCTGTAGTACCTTTCCTAATAATTTAACTAAAGCTACCTAATATGTCTCAGGATCTATGTAGTATATTGGGTCTTATATAATTGCCCCACACATCTTCCTTTCCCTCAACACTCTGGATTTCCTGATGAGTCATTTAAAGATTTCCTTCAGAAACTTGCCATCTAATTTTTCCTCCTGTCATGAACTATATCACTAACCCATCATTTTACAGCATCCTAACTTGCTTCATCCGCTGCTTGCTTCATCAATCTGCCTGTTCTGCTCCCCATTCTGTCTCTGGTGAATCCTTTCACTGTCCCTGCACCTCTGGCCTGTACTCCAGTTCTGTGTGCATAAATAAATAAATATTTTAGAAAATATATTATTTTCTATACTTATTGTCTAGCCATTAGTAATAGGTCATCTGAGGTATTGATCTTAGCATAACCTTTACTATTGTCTTACCCTTTGCTTTAGCTGCTGGCAAAATATTGCTGCAGTGTTTCGCTACTATTCCTGTCCTTGATTCTAGATCTGAATTCATTGACCATCCATTCTTCTTTTGGCTTCCAGAGGTCCATTTTTCCTATTCCTTTCTAACAAACTGATAAGTATGAGAGAATAAGATTCCTTAAATATAAACTGCTTGTTATGTAATAACATTCCTTACATCATAAAATTTGCATAACTCACCTTAATTATACGGTGGAATGTATGTCCATTATAATAACCATTTCTGCTGTGAACACAGAAGTTTTCCACTGTCTTAGGACACCTAGTAAGACATGTTAAAAATATGAATCTGGCCCTCCCTGGTGGCGCAGCGGGTTAAAGCACAGCACTGAGAATCTAAAGCCGCTTCCGCATGAGTTTGATTCCCACCTGCCTGGGAGGTGACCACATGGTGTGGCAGACCTCTCCTGACCCGCCCACTGCTCCCCTCAGCAGTATACTTCATCGATCTGCCTGTTCTGCTCCCCACTCTGTCTCTGGTGAATCCTCTCACCCTCCGCGTCTCTGGCCTGTACCCCAGTTCTGTATGCACAAATAAATAAATCTTTTAAAAAAAAAAATATGAATCTATCCAGTACATCTCAGGATAGTTCAGTACATCTGAGGACAGTTTTTGCAGTTCTGCTTCCTAATGTGTTTTCAGTATCTTCTGAATGTGTTAGAAGGCCAGTCTTTTTTTAAAATAACTTCTAGTCTCTAGGACAAGCAAGAGTTGAAAAGAAGATATAAAGTGGTATATTCTTGCTTAATGTAATATTTTTAGATCAAAATTGCTTACTACCCAAGAGCTTGACAGTGTATAGATTTCAAAGTCAGTTATCAATTTAAAAAATTACACCAATGTAGTACCTATAGATTAGATATAGTTACTATATATAGTGAGTTAAGTTCCCAGAAAAAGGGGCCGCTGTGGTGGTCTAGGGGTAAAGTCTCAGCACTCTCACTGCTATAGGTCGAGTCTGATCCCCGGTCAGGGAGTTAGCCCACATAATGGCACTGCATCTCTCTCCTGTCTCGCCTGCTGCTCCCTTCAGCGAGGTATTTCAGTGAATCTCTGTTCTGCTCTCCACACCCTCTGGTGAATCTTCTTATCCCCTCAACTCTGGCTTATACACTAGTTCTTCAACTAAGTATTTTTTTAAATTCCGGGAAATGAATTTTTTTAATTAAAAAAATGTCATGATACACATTCCTGACCAAGTACTACACACATAAATAAACGTCTCCTAAATTTAATCAACTTTAAATACTCATAGTGTAGACTTCCTAAATAATATTAACTAATTTCCTGAGGTTATTTAACATGGTCCTTAATCATATAATAGCTCTTAGAACTGAGAATAGAATGAAGAGCCAGGAGAATCTTACACGGAATATAACAGGCTTCATTGGTGCATGGATTATGAATGCTTGATATAACAGCTCAGAAGTCTGGTACTAGCTCTTTGCTCAGTACTGATGTGTGATATAATAATACTCATGTTCAATGTAAATATTTTTAAGTAAAGGTGTGATGAAAGACACACCTTTTGCATTAAGAATATTTGAGATATTCCATTACATTTGGTATATTGCACATTCCTTTTGCAAACTTTTAAGCTGTCCAGATATTTTTTCCTGCTTTTTTTAAACGGAAAGCTTTATTTTTTTGGTTGAAACTCATTTTTAAAAATATAGCTATTGGGATTAGAGAAGAGGAAGTTAGTTTCTAGAAAATGTCGGGAAAAGAAAAATCTTTCTTTTAAGGTTTGCTTTGAGAGGACAGCTAATTATAGGTCATGTAAAATTCAAAACTTGTAGTTGGGATGTGCAGATAATGCTAATAGTAATATACATGTATTTCTCTCATTTTATATTTAGCACTTTCATAACCAATACATTTTATCTTATAACATATCTTATTTACTTAAATGTGCATTAAAATTTTCCCATTTTCTAGCATAAGATATTAGAAAGCTCAGGATATATGTACTTTCAAATATGTTATAAATCTTCAAAATTTCTTAAGTCAAAATAACAAGAATTTAAAACTTGTATAGAGTTTCTTTAAATATACACATTCATGTGGTGTTTAAGAAAACAAAAGCAGTACATACTCAACAGGAAAAAGTTTGATGTGAATATCTCCCATGCTTGTGTGGATAATGGCACTATCTGAAACTCGCTTAGGTCCTTCAGCTTGAGTAGCTGCCATGACTTCTTCTTTAGACGGCTTTTCATTGAAAACATCTCGGTCAGAATCCGCACTTTTTGTATCTTCTGGTTCTCGTTTAGTAAACTTGAGGAAAAGAATAATGAATTAAATATTCATCTGGTTAAAATTTATGCATGGAAAACTTCACTTTTATTGATATGAGAAAAGAATGCACATCTGAATGAAGCCTTATTTCAGGAATCACATCTGTCACAAGATATGTATAATAAATAATATTTACATTTGTCTTAATATGAAAACTGTTCATAAAATGAAGATGTGTGATTTTGCCAGTAGGATTTAATTCCTACCAGATAGAAAATGGCTATGAAGTAGCTCTATATTTCTGTCATTTATCATGTTCTTGCTTGCCACCTTTTGTGTTTCACTATGTGGATTACTTGGGTTGAATTCACACCCTGCCATTTACCAGCTATGTGACTTTGGGGAAGTAAATTCATTTTTTCCATTTCCTCATTCACAAATGTGGATAACACTACATAGCTCAACATGGTACCTGTCTTAAAGATTATATTAATAATTGTTATGAGCAGGACCTAGTGCTAGGTAAGATGAGGATTCAAAGATTAATCAGTGATGGATCTATATATGTATTTATTTTTGCATAATTCCAAGTCATCTACTTAAACCCAAAAGGCTGGGAGAAAGTGCACATTTTCAGTGAAGTAGCAGAAATCTCAGGATCCTCAGGGAATAGTAAGAAGAGAAAAACATTAAAAACAACATTTCAGCTGTTAATAAAAATATGATTTCACAAGTTATTTCTTATCTGACAGTAAGTAGAAATCTTCTCCATGCTTTAAAGCTCTTTACCTGCTATCAACTGAATCCCAGAAAAGTAAAGCTAGTGTATTAGGCCCTGTCTTTCCTAATGTCATCCCTAATACACTTGGATAGATTCCAGATAGAGAAACAACCAAACTAGAAAATTACTGCCTTAACTTCTTACTCTTTAGTTTTCAAAGAAGTGACATGTCCATTGTATTGATTACTTACATAAATTTTAATTCACATATGGAAGGAACTACTACTAAGTTCCAGTTTTGTAAAATTTTATTTTGTGATGCTGGATTTTTATAAAGGGACACACTTCATAAATATGTATAACATTTTAACTTTGCTTAAGAAAACACACATTTAATAAAACAGATTATTCATAAAAATGTAAGCTGTAAAGAGCTATGAGTAACTAATTTTCTGTTTCTTCAAAACTTACAAGGAACATCAGATTTAATCAATATAAAAGTAAACTGGGGTGGGGGGGGGCCCTCCCTGGTGGCGCAGTGGGTTAAAGCGCAGCACTAAGAAACTTAAGCCCATTCTGCATGAGTTCGATCCCCGCCTGTCCTGGAGGAGATCCACATGGCGTGGCAGACCTCTCCTGGCCCGCCCGCTGCTCCCCTCAGCAGTGTACTTCATTGATCTGCCTGTTCTGCTCCCCACTCTGTCTCTGGTGAATCCTCTCACCCTCCTCATCTCTGGCCTGTACCCCAGTTCTGTGTGAATAAATAAATAAATCTTTTAAAAAATATATATTTTAAAAGTAAACTGGGGGTAAGGGACATAATTTGTTAAAGTATTTAAGTGGCTAGAAAATTAGCAGCTGTGTTTTCAGTGATCATTAAGAATTCTTTTATCACTGATTTTTACCTTTATAAATTTAAATTACAAGTAAGAAAAATAACTCTCAATATATTAATAAACTTTTCAAAATTATCTTTAAAGTTATAAGCAAAAAACTCAAATGAATAAACCCATTTTAGGTAAGTATTTGATTGGGACAGAGAAACGTTGTTTCATATATTTATTAAATGATGGTAACCTTAATAGCAACATAGCCATCACATCACATGAATATGTACTATAATTAGGTACACAGACAGTGTAAACACTACTTAACTGTAGACTTAATAGTGAAGAAAATGTGTATGGGCTTAATATCATCTTGAGGAAGAGATGATGGTTACTAGAGACTCCTAACTCTTCCCCTCTAAAATCAGTAAATTATTCCAAAAAGTGTGACACAAAATAAGGAGGCACACCTGAATTGTGGAGAAGAGGATGTTTTCAATTAAGATACAAAAATGAATAGATCCTGGGAAGAGGTGTATAGCTGACAAAAGAAACAGACTGTGCAACAGCTAGAGTAAAAGACACCCACAATCAAATGAAATCAAGTTATGATGGTTAATGAAAGAAGTAAGCAAAATTATAATGAGATAAGCCAGAAAGAAAAAGAAAAATACCGGATGGTTTTGCTCATAGCAGGAGTACAATGGACCAGGCGAGAAAATAATAAGAATAATGAACAGCCATATACCAGAGGCATTTTGTGGGGGTGGAGTTTAGAATGGGATCAAAAACCCCAAAGCAAAAACAGGGTGGGGGAAGGAAGTGCACGGGACTATGGTGATGGCACATAGGTGACTCAGTGATGGGAAACCCACAGGGTTTACAATTGAGACGAAAAAGAAATGTACAAAATGATGTAAAAATAAACTATTATATTAAAAAAAGAATAAAATGATAATGGATATTAAAAAAAGAAGTAAGCAAAATTAATGGATGCTAAAGCTAGGAGGACTAGCTAAAGCATATAGAAGGGAAATCATTAAGGGCTTTTAAGTAGAGAAATAATCGCATTTAGATCTCAGAAACTCAGTAGAGTATAGAGGACAGAATCCAAAAGCAAAGAATTTTTATGATTGAACAGTTAGGATGGTGCTACTTTTAGGTAGGTTACTAGATTGATTTTGAGCCCAATCTTAGTTAATGTGCCAAGTACTTTTAGTTTTCCAGAAAAAAATAAATGTCAGGAATATATAATTCCAAAGAGAACCATTAAATGGATTCAAATGTTAAAAGAGTTAGGTTTAGAGATGCAAACTGTAAGTTTAGGGGAAATAAATTATGTTCAAGAATAAAGTTAAAAAATAATAAAAACAAGAATTTTAAAAACCCCATAGCAAAAACTTTTGGATGCAATTTTTACCATAACCACTTACTTCCTATCATCTTAGACAACACAAATAGTTATAGATGCCAGGTTGAAAATTTTTCAAAGTAGGATGGAAAATAATACAGAAATACTTAAAATCTAGTCCTAGTTAAATTTTTATATTAATGTTGTAAGATGGTATTCTGGTTGTTTAGAAAATCTGCTGTTATTGCCAACATTCCCTTTAGTTGAAGCACAAGCTAAGAAAATAAAACAACCAAAGTGGAATAAACATTAAAGCCTACCGCCTAGGACTTCTACCTACCATATAAAACCGGTTTTTTTTGAAAGATGTACAGACTATCGTAGGGTCAGGTAGAATATTCTGAAGAACAGGGTTTTCAGAAGCTTTCATTTCTATTGTAGTTGCAGCACGGTGTTTCTTGGCTATACCCTGGAACAAAGCCAGTTGCATCACTCTAATATTTTCCTGTTTGCCTAAGATCCGCACACACCTAAAACACAACGTTTCGTACAATAAAAATACATACAAAAATGCTCTAAACAATAGAACAAAGTGTTTCACACAACTTTAAAGAGAAAATCTAGGAATAAATAATGTTTATCTTTCTTCAGAGTAATGAAAGATTCTCTATCCCCTTAAATCAGTAGGTAGCTACAATTTTCAGGTTAAAAAGTACAATCATTTAATCAGACAGTTTTAATCTACCCCTATTATTTTAATCTTTAGTCTTCAGATTGTGGTTTGCCAAGAACTACAAAATAAATTTGTTTATATATAGGAATGTATAGCATAGATTTTTCCTCCTTAAAATATATTTTAAGTTTTATTCATTTATATTCAGTGATAGTATCTGATTGTAGCTATTTTGTACTAAGACCAAAAGGACTGTTTGCACAAAAGGCTTATTGTGGTTTCATGCATTTTAACATCTGATTTTATGTCTAGCAGGATGTAATGCTGAATTCTGTGGTTAAAATATTTGGCAACATTTAACATGAACTAGTCTAATTTAAATCAATAAGCAAAAGACAGACTGAAACTTGTTAAAAAAAAAAAAACTTGAAACTATGCATATCTTCTTTCCCTTTCTTTTACAAACATGAGTGGAAACTTTTTACATAAGATTATAAACAACCAAAGACCTCAGAAAAATCCAGTCAAAACATTTGGTTAAGTTTAGACATTTGGGATATTTCCATTTGTCTTGGAACAAACAAAACTCCCATTGTTTCCCAAAAGGAGGGAAATGCATTTTTTAAAAACATACATCATGATAAAGCTTATATACATACATCGTAATAATGCTTACCGGTTTGTTTCCACATTTATAACTTTAATGCCCAACATTGTTCCATATAACACGAAGTGTCCAGTTTCATCAAAAACTATATTAATTAATCTTACTGCATCCACTTTCTCCAACTCACGTTCTACAGCCATTCGTCGGCCAAATTCCATGTCTGGTAGCTGTTGCCTCATCTGCTGCAGTTCAGTAAACATCTAGAAACAAACCATTCATTAATGAAAAGCTATGTAATGAAGGGAATGAGACTTTAAGTAGAAGCAGAATACACAGTAAGAGCCACTGTTTACATATATAAAGTATATCTATATATGTATAGATATAGAGACATATCTATACATATATATCTTAAGGAGGATTCTAAACACTGTAAGCAGGAAATAAAAGAGACATTAAGTTCAATCATAAGAATAGCACTTTATATTGTCTTGTTCTTCTAATGAAGAAAAAAAAAACCGATCAACTAACATAACTGCTTTCTTTTAGACACTATAACTGCTACCTTTTTTTCTTATATTCTCTGCAATACTGTGGGTGTTTCAGCCCACCTCAATTTGGACTAGCCGCATACCAGTTACTCAGTAGTCACAGGTGTCTGACTACTATGGGTACTATATTGAACAATGCAGTTACAGACTATGAAGTCCTTATGCAATTGTCATGGATATGATACTTAACAAGCACAGTTTTGCTGAATGAATGAATGAACTTTGTATAATTTCACTAACTTACTAACAACTTCATGGTATTTCAGAAAACCTTTAGAATACTCTAACTACAGTTAGAATAGTTAGATAATCATTAAGTAAATGTGATTTAAGATGGGTGATTTTTTTTATAAGTGCCCTGCTTAAATAATACGCATTATCACACTATAAGTCTCCTCAAAGGTATGATGTCTATACTGAGTTCTCCAGACATTTAGGGCATCAAACAGGAAAAATTCTCACATAGCTCTTCATTACAGATGACATTATGTTTACTTATGTCCATCTACTTTTATTTTCCATGTTAACTAGCAATCTCATTTTTTGAGATACTGAAATATACACAACCCTAAAAATCAAAAGGAGATAGTGTATTAGTACACAAGTATAAGGCAAAAGCTTATAGAACTTAAAAACATCAATGGGGTATGTTGTCTCTAACCTCTGAGACAGACATTTGGCTGGAACAGCTAAGAGTGATGCAGTGAAGGATACCCCTGATTATTTTTGCTAGAGACAAGGTTCAATTTCAAAGCTAAATGTCTACAGATGGCCATCTGCCCTCATAAAAATAATATGCAATGGTAACCCAACCTTATAAGCACGTCTGAAGTATTTCACAGTATTCTAGCCTTAACAATAGAAACTCTGTGATATACAACTACATGATTATATACAGTGATTCTGATAATACTAAAATAACACAGAGCATCCAGATGGTTCAATTTCTTGTCTGTCATACTAAGACTGTTAGAAAGCTCTCAAATCCACATGTTAACATGAACTCTGAGATTCCAGTCACTAAGTAGCCACTAGAATTGCCACTAAACTGACTGGCATTTGGCTTTTTGGGTAAATGCTTTCCTTCTGCTCTTAACACCTCAGTTCTATCATCCCAACAAATGTTGAAGAGAACAATGAAAAAATAGAGTGAACAGCTCAGAGTATGTATGTTTAAGACATTTCTATCCAGAGACTAAGTTTGAATATTTCTGTTCTTGAGGAATATTGAAGATCTCCAAGTTGAAGAGTTTTAAAATTATATTTAAGTTGAAACTAGTACCTATAGCTACTATCACGTAATAACATCACAAAGAAAATTTCTTCTTTGCCTTCTTTTCTTAAAAGCATAGTTGAAAGCTACCTTCTTTCAATAAGAAAACAAGTCATGAAAATGATCTGGATAGCAAACATCTTTACATTTGTCTGGATTCATATTACTTAAGACAGATAATAATTGCACTTAAATGTAGCTGCCACCAAGTATGTGCTTCACTAATAAGAGCGGCAGAATTTCTGAAGTGCTTACTGCAGGGATTCTAATGTAAATTGGTCACTACCAAAAGCTGGGAAGTTACTGTCAACAATAAGCACTGCTATGAAAGTTGAATCCACCTACTGTAGTATTTATAGAACCACTGGATAGATAAAATCTTTGAGCAAAATAAAATCTGATTAAATTGCACTTACACTTAGTGATTCATCAAAGACTCTCATGAGTTTTCCAGTTAAAAACCTGAAAATTCTAACTTTTCTGTCTGAACCTATAGTAGCTATCTTCTTCCCATCAGGTGAAAAACATATGCTGGTTGGATAAGCCTTGCACTTGGCAAATTCATATAAATCTGTGTCAGTTTTATATTCCCAGTTCACATTTTTGGGGAACTTGTATTCATGAGGTGGCCCAGTCCAGTATTCAATCATTCCAGACTTATCAGAGGACACTACTGTTTTATAAACTGGATTTAAACGTATCTGAGTAAGAGGTGATATATGAAGTTTGTCAAATATATGAAGTGGTTGATTATCTCCTCGGCCATCATAAATGAAAATTTTTCCTGTACTCTTCTCAGAAGCAGCAACTGACGATATGGCATCCCCTGGGCAATAGATCCATTCACACTGTCCAGGAAAATAGCTAAAATAGTAGAAAATTGGGGAGGGAGAAAAGTCAAGTAAAGGTCAAGAAAGGTCAAGTAAAAGTCAAGTAAGGTCAAGACAAGTAAGCATTTCTCCTAGCATTTCCACCAAAAAATGTTCTCTCAAGTAACTTAGCTAATTTTGGATTCCATGCCCATAGCAGCACATAATGATACTGAACAGGGAAAACAATTAAGAATACTAGTTTTAATCTTTCTGATAGCATGAATTCAACAACAATAACTTCTGAGGATCCATCAAGCCACATGATGAAAATTATATATATGGCAGACTCTTGGGTAGATAAGGAGATCTCATGATCCATGCCTTAAAATTTGTGTCTTTGCCTCAGTTTGCTTTAAAATGTTAGTAAGCAACATATACTTTATAAATACATTCTTCAAAATGTTTAAGTTCAAAATATTTTAGTTGTGACTAGTTCAAAAGCAGAACATTCTTATCACATGCTCATTATTAGTAACTTCATCTTTATAAGCAATAATCATGCTACCTGATGAGCAAAGTATAGAAGAACTGGCACAGAATTTAAACAATATACTAAGTTTGTACTGTCAAAGAAGAAATTATACTTGATTGCAATGATCATATTCTCAAAACCTCTGACTCTTTTGTTGGGATTTCTATCAAAGCCTTAAAAAATTACTCCTTAAAGGTAGCAAAGGTTCAACATGTATGAGCACATTTGATTTTTAAAAATAGCTAAAAGATCTGGGGAAACAGTTGGACAATAGGACAAATGAACAATGAGTGTTTCTGTTTTTAGTAAAAGAAATTTTTGACTGTAAATAATGAGATTCATGTTTTTTTTGTGGCTCATAAACTGATTTTCAAGGAAATTCCAAAAGAAGTGTGCAAAGTACTGAATTATGTTCCCTTCCCATCATTTCATATATGGGCTCCTAACACCCAAAATGAAGGTATCAGAAGATTAGAGTTTTAAGGAATTAAGGTAAATGAAGCCATAGGGTGGGGCTCTGATCCCATAACCAGTGGCCTTGTAAAAAGAGGAAGAGAGATCATTTTCCCTACTCTTCAAACCTCCCCAGCAAGGACAGAAGCATGAAACCAGAAATCAAACCCTGCTGGAACATGAACTTGGACTCTCCAAACTGCAAAATTGTGAGAGAAAATTTCTGTGGTTTAAGCAATCCAGTCTGTGGTGTTTTGTTATGGCAGTTTTACTAGACCCAGATAATGAACCCAAACTGTTTCTGACAGTGTTATAACTTTCAAAGTGACATTAAATTAGATAGCTATACATTCATTACATGATCTTTAAAAGATAGCTTAACACAAAGTATTAGCTCATTACTGAATAGTCTAACCACATAGTTTGGTTATTAATATACTTCAAAGTTTAAAATCACCAACATATAACTTCAATTCCAGAAAAGTGTTTGAGCCTTATAAGCTCATATTACATATCACTGAAAGCAAGGAAGTTAATCTAAGTATCTGAAAATTAGAAATGGATTCTCACTTATTTATTATATAGTATTAAACAGATATAATGAGTCCTTGCTATTTGGAAATATTTGTTGTGATTAATGACAAAATCAAAGGCCTCCAAGTAGCATCACACTAAAGATTCATTATATCAAATTTTCCAACAAAATCAAAGATGTATTTTTTAATGGCATGGTAACATACTGTTTGGAAATGTTAATGAAATGTTATAGGTTAAAACTATTTCACTAAGTTAAAAGATATACTCACCCAAGCTTCAGCATATTGATCATGTCAAAGTTCACTACATCAAACACCTTCATTGCTTTATCATCACCCACAGAACAGAACAATGCTCCCTCAGAGCTAACTGCAATACTCTCAATAATTCCTATTTAAATAAATCAAATTAAAAATATTCTAGTAAATAGCAATGAAATAAAGGAATGCAAATCAAAGAAAAAAAACATTTTAAGAGAAATGTTAATGGGTATAATTTGAAAGAGAGCCACACAAACACAGAGGAAATTCTTACCTAGGTGACTACGAAAATGTTTAACAAACTCAATGCCCTCTTCTATTTTTTTCCAGAACTTAACATGTCCATCATGACTGGCAGTAATAATGAAATCTGTCCTGCATGTGTAAAATTATAAAAGTTAATTTCTAAAACATATATATAAATCACTACCCTCAAAGCAATCTTTTACTGTGCATCTTTTGACTTCTCATAGTAGATTAGTAAAATCTGAAGCTCCCTCCTGGATATCCAAGCAACTGCAGCTGTACTAATTTTAATCACAGGAGATCAGACCAAGCTAGGATTTAACATTAGAAAAAAAGAGAAAAACTCACTAGGAATCACTAGATCTTTAGGTTCTTTAGTGCTAAAGTTAAACATTACACAGTCTGTTCAGAGAACTAGGAAAAGGTACTATTTTTTAGAAGTTTATAAAGAATTATATCTTTTTTTTTTTTAAAGATTTATTTACTCATACAGAACTGGGGTACAAGCCAGAGACGCGGAGGGTGAGAGGATTCACCAGAGACAGAGTGGGGTACAGAACAGGCAGATCGACGAAGTACACTGCTGAGGGGAGCAGTGGGCGGGTCAGTAGAGGTCTGCCACACCATGTGGATCTCCCCGGGGCAGGCGGGGATCGAACTCATGCAGAAGTGGCTTTAGCTTCTTTGTGCTGTGCTTTAACCCGCTGCGCCATCAGGGAGGGCCCAAAATAATTATATCTTAACATACTACTTCTACAAAATTCAACATAAGTCTGCTTTTTTTCTTATTCAAGGTATTTTGACTATAAAAAATGTCTGTATAATAGTCTCCTCCATAAGGCCATTCAGTGAAACCTAGTACTTGTAAGTTGTTTTATAGGTATTACCTTAGGTAATTTTACAGCAACTCTATTGGGGTGGGTATTTTTTATCATTTTACAAATCAGACAATAGTCTTAAAATATGAAATTTGTTCCACATCCTTCGCTGGAGAGTGGAGGCATTCAGTAGCAGAATGGTCTACCCCAAAGCCTATAATATTGCTATTAGACCCTACTGTTTTAGCCTAAAAAACTTGAGTTACTAAAAAACTAGTGCTAGTCCTGTATGCTGCTTTATATACCAGCACCTTTGGGCCAGGAAAAGTGCTAGTATTTGGCCAGAATTATCCTATAAATTAAATATAAAGATATTTAATTAAAATCATATCTTAAATGATCTCCAAGAAATAAAAAATAGACTGTTCCAGGCCCTGGTGGTGCAGCGGGTTAAAGCACAGCACTAAGAAGCTAAAGCCACTTCAGCATGAGTTTGATCCCTAGTCCTGGAGGTGACCCACATGGTGCAGCAGACCTCTTCTGACCTGCCTGCAGCTTCCCTCAGCAGTACACTTTGTTGATTTGCCTATTCTGCTGCCCACTCTGTCTCTGGTGAATCTGTCACTGCCCCTGCAACTCTGGCCTGTACGCAAGTTTTGTATGCATCAATAAAAAAAAGACTGCTCCAAAGAACAAAGTAATTCATCAACTTCTTTCCATACTCATTGCCATTACCATCCAAGTTGCCATGGTATCTCAGATTTCTAACCTAGCTTCCTAACCGCTTCTCTGTATCCATTTTGCCCTATTTCTGAAAAAATCTCTAAGCATGTTTCCTTTTCTATAAAATGGAGATTATATACTACTTCATAAAATTGCTTCTAAGATAAGTAATTTATATAAAAACTTCCACACAGTACCTAGACATACTATAAGCTCAACAAATAAGAGAGATTACTACTATTATTATCCTCCAAATTCTCTCATTCATCTACTTTGAAGTTCTGTCATATCCCCAAGATGCCTTAGTTTTTCATCACTGGCTCCAATGGTACTAAAGAGGCCAGCTACCAATTATTCTCATCTTAAAACTACTATACTTTTCTTCTGAGAAGCTTAAGACAGGTGGTGCATCCCTCTTTGGCATTTATCTCCAAAAGACAAATGTATAAACTCCAGAGATCTATCTGAGGAAATGCATTTCTTCTATGATAGAGGGAAGAAGTAGGCCCTTAAGCTATTATAGAACTTACAGAATTAAATAGAGAACCAAAATACCCTAAAGCTACTTATACAAAATCACTCAACTGAAGCATTTTTAAAAATAATAAATTCAGAAAAAAATTTTAAAAGGTGTTAACAACTTACTTGGTGCATACCACATGGGTGATGACATCTCTATGCATGTAACTGCGCTCATACATGGAAGCACTGGGGAGATTATCAAGATAGACTCTTTCAAATTCTAGAACTGAGAAAAAAGTAAAATTTATTTTTACAACTGGAACATAATACCTATTTGGCATTTTTTTAAATTTAAAATGATCTAAATTTTATTTTTTATTGTATTCCAGATTTTAATTTCCCTCAGTGAGTAATAAAAATATCCAGTATCTTTGATGTCAGTTGTAACTTTTATTATTTCAGACAGGTTCTCTCAGAAATCAGATAGATGCTTAACAGTCCCCAGAATTTAAGAACTGGCTTAATACAAAGGTTCTATTAAAAAAAAAAAGTTTTTTTAAGCTAAAAAAAATCACATCTATTTTTCTAATTATGTAAATTCACTTATTGGTGCTAATTTAAATTATATAGTAAGAAGCAGTGGTCATTATGTCTCAATTTACCTTTAAGGCACTGTTCCTTTCTAAAATCAATGATACTGGGCTTGAAACTGTTGAACCTGACAAAATGCTTAGATTTTTAAAGCTGAGAAAGTCCTAGAGATTATCTAGTAGACTGCTTCTCAAATTTCTTCCAGGACACATTGATATCCAGGTATAAGAAGATGACACCCACCCTCTTCAGCAGTTAGGTGTGATCACATACAAATGAGATCAAAGGTGGAAACTGTCTCCTTGAAAAGGTGTGGTCTTCCCTTTCTCAATCCCATACTTGAAAGTAGGACATCATCACTGTAATTCTAATGAGGACTACATATTAGTGTTGTTACGGCAGAAAGCTGAAAAGAGCTTCCATACCAATCCTAGACTACCTTGGGACTTTATTACCTAAGAAAACAGTACACACGTTTATCTTTTCATCTTGTAATTCTGGATCTTTCCCAAAAAAGTTCCAGGGCACAAGGACATAAAGAAGAGTTAACATAGGCCTTGCTCTTGTTTAATTAAAGGTAGTACCATATAATCACTCATAACATCTTAAAATGTACATATTTAATGTTACATGTTAATGGGATGATGATTCCATTTCTAGAAAGTTAATATATTATCAAATCCCTACCTACTTAGACAAAATCTGTAATGTTATTTTCCTAACATTTCTTACATGTTTTTAATTTATACTAAGTTTTTAAGATCTTTCTCTAACACTTTCAGCATTTGATTATTTTTGGATTTCCCACCCTCCCCCATTATCTACACACACACACACACACACACACACATCATTGTAAAGTAAGAGCATAAATTAAGAGCATAAGCACTGTAATAGTCCTTCATTCTACAAATGAATTGAGTTTGCTGAGTAAATAAATTAGACTTACTGAATACTGGTATATGCAAGGCACTATGCTAAGAATTGAAGAAAAATAGCATGTTCTTGCTCCTCTATGACTACAGTCTTAGCAGAGAGAAATATTAATCAGGTAATTACATAAGTATACAACTGCAAAATTCAGCTAGTGCAGTGACAGTTGCTGCTGAATACTTAAAAGGAAAAACCTGACAATAAAATAGGTAATTCCACTTGTAAAATAACAGTCTTATCAGAATTCAGATAAAACTCGAAGGCTACTTGTAAATTTAAAATGATAAACATTACCTCAATTATGACCAATGGATTTGACAAACCCAATCCAAACTGGAGGTCACAGATTTCCAGAAGGAGTAATAGTTAAGCTGAGTGCTAAAGATTGAACAACAGTTAACCAAACGAAGAAGGGTTGTGGGAATTCCAGGTAGAGACACCATGATTCCCAGTGTAGGCATCTAGAGGAAAAGAGACCGTGGTCCATTTTCAAGTTTAATATGGCTGGTGCAGACTGAGAAGAATGACAAGCGATTAGAAAAGAGAATAATGGAAATGTGCTGGGGAGGTAAGGAGATATTATAACTGAAATGGCCTGTTTGGACTTTTGCAAATAATGAGAAATCGTATAAGAATTTTAAGTAGAGAGATTGATAAATATTTAAGGTCAAGATTTAACCTACCCCTTTCCCATTCCTTTTATTTTATTAAAATCTTGTCATTAATCCATGTTAATGGCAAAATGCATAACGTCACGGTATCTAAGGAAATAACTCCACAGTCAGAACTCGGGTTTTAAATGAAAAATGTGTGATCCAGGTAACTTTCCCAGAAACATCATCAATGACAGTGTCTTCACCCACGCTTTACGATTCTAAATAGGCACTGCCTTCCTGCCAGCACCAACACGCCACTATTCCTGAACAAAACCCTTATTAGAGAAGCATTGATTTCCCCATCCCCTCACATCTGCTAAGCGGAGTTAGAAATTTCAACCTTAGATTGCTGCTTATAAGGATAAAATGAGAGACGGCAAACAAAGTGTAGACGTAATTTAGCTTTAGTACTATTTAAACAAATCAATGACTTGCAGTGTCGGACAACATTAAAAAGACGCCATATTAAGCCCAAATCACTATTTTGGAAAGATATGCAAGTACAGCTTTAACAGAAGTGATAAGACTCAGTTCCGGGAGCACAAAATCCCCAGTCACACACCGTATGTTTTCGGGTATGGCTTGCAATCTCTCGCTGAGAGAATGCATGGATCATTCGAATTCACCCTGTACCTATCTGTGGTTTGCTACCTTTTCTCTTCTTGGCCAACGTTGCCTCTACAGGTAATGGCCCAACCCATCGCTCTTCATTCTCTTCTTCGTTCTCTTGAGCCGCTGCCAGCTCTCTTTGGCTGAATTCATTTTTTTCTGGGTCTTCTGTATCCCCGCGCCTTCTTCTCCTCAGTTGTGCATCACTTCCACTTTCTGCCGCCATATTGTCGTAGTCGTCAGAAAAGGCGCGACGCGCAGAACTCGACTACCAATCCCAAGGCAGCGGCGCAGCCCATTCGTCAGCAGACCGAGACAGTTTCATGATTGGCTGAAACGGGTAGGAGCAGATCCAATCCGCTAGCAGCGCGCGCACAGGTTGTGGGCGGGGAAACCTGTACAACGTTCGGCTGAGGACTCCTGAAGTCTCTGGCTCGTAGGTGGTGAGAGGGGTGCTGGGAAGGGCACGGTAACCTTTGAAATTTGCCGCGGCTTCTACCTGGCTGTCCCAGGGTGGAGTAGCTATCCCACGACCAACCGGGTCTCGAGTCCTGGCCTTCAAAATCCTTAATTACATGAGTAAGCCTAAATGCTTAAAATTGCCTGTGTAGTGCATTGCTGCTCTCACCATGTGTTAACTGCATTACTAGCTCAGCTCAAATCACTCTGTACACTTTATTGCTCTGGAAACACAGTATTCACATTCCTGCCCCCAAGGGAAGGCCAGCGGTTGTGGTTGGATGTGCTTGTGGTTCTCTCAACCTGGAGCCTCTCCCCCTAAATATTTCTTTATCTTACTTCCTTAACTCTCATGGTTTTCTCAATTGTGTATTTCTGAGTGACTTTACACGACTGCCTTATGTAAAATTACATTGTCCCTGCCTTAGCATTTCTTGTGGTTCTTGCCTGCCTTACTTGTTACCATAGTGCTCGTGAATAACTTGATATAGTCCAGTATGATATGTATATGTATATGTATATGTATATGTATATGTATATGTATATGTGTGTGTCACACATACATGCATAGCTTATTTTCTGTTTTCCTTATATTTGGGCCTATTTTGTTCGTCACTACATCTTTAAATTCTAAGTGACTAGTTGGCATTTATAGGTGTTCAATAACCATTCTCTAATGAATCACTTTATTTTAGCTTTTCTAATAAGGTTAAGAAAATTACAAGGCACATGTCAGTGAATCAGCAAGATTTAGATCCAGATAGTACTACAGATGTGGAAGATGTTAGAGATGTTGAAGAGGAACTTATCAAAGAATGTGAAGGCATGTGGAAAGATATGGAGGAAGTAAGTATCAAGAAATAAGTGGTATGTCAATAAATATATTATTTAATTCAATTTTAAAGATTATTTTTATTTATTTATGCATGTGAGAATTGGGGTATTGGCCAGACATGCAGGGAGTGAGAGGAATGTCAGGCACAGAGTGGGAACAGAGCAGGCAGATCTACTGAAATACACTGCTGAGGGGAGAAGAGGGCAGACAGGAGAGGTCCTCTGCTATATGGGTCAGCTCCATGGTTAACTCACTGGTCAGTTAGAACTCAGACCTCAGTGGGTGGTGATAGATTGACAGTGCTAAGACTTTAACCCCAGTGCCCTCAGGGATGCCCCAATTTAATTCAACTTCAGTAGGAGACTTAGGAAAGAAAGAATTATGCTGACTCCCAAACGTAGTTATATGGTAAATATTTGTACAGTTTTTAGACCTATAAGCATTCGTTCAAGAAATTTTGTAATAGTTGAACTTTAGAAAGAACATATGACAATTCCTGCTTAAGAGAGATTATCAGTTAATGGAAGCAGTAGCTATTATGTTATGTTACAATGTAGTATAATGTATTTTCTTCAGTATAATGTAATCTGGAAGAATTGCACAGACTGTACTTAGGAGGAGTGCAAAACAGGAGCAAAGGGGTCGAGGGTAGCTTTTAAGAGAGCAAATAATTGACTTTATTGTAAAGAATAAACAGAAGTTAGCCTGTCACTTTGGGGGAAATATGCCAAACAGAAAGAACAAAATATATAAGATTGGGAGAATTTAGAGAAATCTAAGTATCATATTATATTTTATGTAAATTAGGAGAGACAAACTTGTAGAAGGAAGAACATGACAGAATTTGTTAGTATGTACTATAATCCATTAAAAGAGTAAAAACACCAGGTAACATGCTGGAATAGACAGTGCAAGTTAGTCATGTGGTTTTGAAGAAAATAATTTGTTAAGAGTGAACCTATAGGTAGAAAGGTATTTAGGAGGCTGTAGTAATGACCCTGGCAAGGTGTACCAAAGTGCTAAATTCTGTCAGTGCACATAGAGAAAGAGTAGACTCAAGAGATAGTAAGGAAGTTTCCATTTGGAGGTTAATTGTGAAGTGGGGGGAATTATGAATAGCTCTAAGTTTCTGGTTCTGATCATTGGTGGCTGGTGGTGGTGTTCCCCAAGATAACTATAGAAGTGTGGGGAACACATAATTAAGGAGTTTGCATGAAAACATAATTTAGGAAATACTCACTTTGAAATGTATATACAATTTCTAAATTAGGTAGAACTCCTTTGGGTACATTATAGTGTGTTGGTAAAATTTTGTTCTACTTAAAGTAGTATAATGTATGATATATTGATGGCCATTTTTTATAATCCTATTTTTCCTAGTAAAGTTTCAGGTTAGGGCAGATTAGTGGATTTTTCCTTTTTTTCAGTTTTTTATCATAAATTCTTGGTATCTTATTTTTTCCATGTATTTTTAAGATAATTTATATAATTCAATCCACTTCTTTGCTTCTATTTTTTTAGTATAGATCCTTTAGTTTAAAAATGACTTTAAAATTTTTTGTAGAAAAATACTGTAGGTAGAAATAAGCTCAAATAAAACTTAAATTTCCTGTTTTTACCTTTCAGATTTAATCACTATTAATGACTGAACTTTTTTTTTAATTGCACAGGAACAATGTTCTCTAAAGGCCTTATTTTCTTAAGATATTAGCTACCTTTTTTCTTTCCTATAATGCCCTTTTACTTGCTTACCCCACTGTATCTAATTTCTATTCCACGTAACTACTAATCTTTGTTCTTTTTTCTTATTTTTGTACTCATTTTTGAATTTTCATTCTGTGTAGCATCTAGTATCCTCTTTTACATGTGATATACTTAACCTTGGGACTTGCCTGATCCTTTTGTTTAAGAAAGTGAGGAATTGAAGCAAACTTTTCTTATCATACATTTGTATTTTGATTTATTATATTGGTACAATGTAGAGGAGAAAGTAATTATCTGTGGATTATTGTGTATAACTTGCTTTTCTTTGCTTTTTAAACCAAGTGTCAGAATAAATTATCCCTTGTTGGAACTGAGACACTCAATGATTCAAATTCTCAGGTATGAAATTATTTTTTCTTCCTAAAAATAGATAAGTGAAATTAATTGTGTTTTGCATAAGAAATGTATCTTGTTTCTCCCAAGTATAATAGTTTTACTAATATCTGTATATTTAGTCATTTGGAAATTTCTCTATTGTTTGTAGTTGAAGAGTTGGTAGTATTATGAATACTTTTTGAATAAGCTATAATAAAAAATAAGAATACTTTATTCTTTATCTTTTAATAGCTACATATACATTTAAATATTAAGTGACTCACTCATTGACTATTACTATAATGCATTGTTAAAAATTAGAACAGAGACTGTCCTGCTTTGTGTTAGGTGAGGAAACTACAGTTATTAATTTTTAAAGATTTATTTATTTATGCCTATAAAACTGGGGTACGGGCCACACAGGTACAGTGAGAGGATTCACTAGAGATAGAGTGGGGAGTAGGACCAGCAGAATGATGAAGTACAATGCTGAGGGGAGCAGCTGGCAGGTCAGATGAGGTCTGTGGCGCCACGTGGATCACCTCAGGGGCGGGGATCGAACTCAAGCTGAAGTGGCTTTTAACTTCTGAGTATTGTGCTTTAATCTGCTGTGCTGGGCCACAAGGGAGGGCCTATTTTACTTATTTTATCTTAACTAATTTATTCTAGCTTTTGAAAAGAGATTAAAATTTTTTTTTTAAATAATAATCAAATAATTGTGGAATTGGCTTAGGAATATACCAATTGGTGAGTGTAAGAATTTAAAATATTAGAGAGAGTTCTAACCTGTTGTACAAGTATATATCCATTAGGAAAAAATAAAATCAGATAACATAAGTTCCACATGCTATAAAAGTGTAAGAAAAGCTCTGAGACTGCAGTCTATGGACAGTGGAAGCTTGGGGCAAATAATTAACATCTAGGCAATATACATTCAAAAAAAATTATATGTATTTAGTCATAAAATTTTAAAATGTTTTAATGAAGAATTCTAGTTGCAAAGTGAAAAATAAATTTGATTCCAATGAAAATTTTCTAGAACTGGTAGGAGAATATCAAAGATACGGCTATTGATAGAAGATTCTCCTGCTGTGCAAATGTGTTAGTATGTAAGCACCAAAAGGAATAATGATCTTAATGGATTATAATACTATGGGGGAAAAAAAAACTATGCTATAATAAAACAGTAAAAAACGAGAAAGAGACAGATGGGGCAAAGAAAAAAAACTAAGCTGTCACTTTTGAGAGTGCCTGTTCCACAAGATATTTAATCTTAAAATTGATGATAAAGAATTAAATGTCTCGTTTAAAAAAATGATCAGTTGTACAGGGTAAAATTGAATATTATATTTAGAAATGCTTAATACAGTAAATAAACTATAATCTGATTTCCTTGGTGAATATGGTTCTAGAAATTGAGCCCTATAGAGTCAGAATCACTGATAAGGCTTATAGATTTCCTGTATGATTTTCATACAATGAGCCAAACATTGTTTTGGAGTGACATGCTCATGTAGTTGTCAATGTTTAGTATCCTCAGATAAGCAATAATAACTTTGCTTATTCCAAAGAATCAAAAATATGTGGTTTTCTATTTTGTTGAGAGCTCAAATTTACTCCCATGTTGATTCTTTAGGAGGATTCACAGGACTCAGTGTATAGTCATAAACATGGATGAGATGAGATTAACAAAGGAAAATTAACAAAGGAAATTTACAGTGAGATTAACAAAGGAAATTAACAAAGGAAAAGGATGATGGGGTACATAATTTACAAATTATTGTGTTGTAAAGTTGGTTTTTATGGGTGACTTGTGGAACTTGTCTCATTTTAAATTATCCTCTTTTATATTTAAATTTGTATTTACCTAGTTAGCTAAAAACAGTAACAGTTCACCTGAAAGGCATACAAAAGAAAAAGAACAATTGGGAAGCAAATGTGTTGACAAGAAAGGATATCTAGTTTTTTTTAAAGAATTACATGTTTAGTATATAAACTTAACATGCTTAGTTAGGTTCTTTTATTTTGGGTTGAATGATAGTGCAGAATTTACCATTTTTTTAATATTCTATCACTGATATAATAGGCAATTTATGAACATAATTAGTATTGTATAAAGCAAATTTCTTAGAGTGATGATTTTTTGTGTGGTTTTAAGGGCTATTAGACATGTCATTTGCTTTAAGAGCTCTAAAGTATTGAAAATTGCTTACTTTCATCTATAAATGACTGAATATTCTACAAGATATGATTTTTTTACTGTTTTTATAGCTATCCTTATTAATTATGCAAGTGAAATGTTTGACGGCTGAACTTAGTCAATGGCAGAAAGAAACTCCTGAAAGTAAGACTCATGCTTTTAAATTTACATTTTTATAGAAGAGCTAATGACAAATTAATTTAATGATCACAAGAATTATAATATCCTTCTAGCCTTTTCGAAATTGACCAAATTCCATTGCTATTAGGAAGCCACCTCATTTTCCTTTTTTTGCACCATTATTTTGTGTTTATTATAAAGGAATGTGTCTGTCTCACATTAGGGATAGTAACCTTGATTATGAAGAATTATTAGAGCCCTCATTTTATCTTCATAGTCTTATGTGCTGGGTAGAAACTACATTGTCTCTTAGTGAATGAAACTTATATAATAGAAAAGTTTTAGATATTTTAGATATTTATTTACAAAGGGTCATATAGATTATAATATCCTCTGTTCAATGAGGCTAATTCTATGTTTGCCTTTAGTTGAGAAGTAGAAGGTTTAAACAGATGCAGTTTAAATAACCACTTAGGAAAGTCTACATTTCTATACTGTATGTATGTCTGTACTTAGTGTTCATATGAATTGGACCCTCTTTTTTTTTTTTCTATTTAATGCCTCCCTTATCCATTCTTCTACTTCCTCTGTTTCCTTTAAACATCTGCACTCCCCTTAGTCTCCATTGTGGGCTTATTATTCTCTTTTTCAGGTCTTGGGATTCTTATTTTCCCTAGTTCCTTACCTAGAATATTTTATCTGCATTCTTAGTTTTAATTACTGTGTTCATGCCTTTGTCCACCATTGTTCCACATCTTCCTACAACCTGGTATTTTTAATTTTAGCACTTGCAACATATATATACACAATTGTGATTTTCATTTGCACTAATCTGTATATCCTGTTGCTTACTCAGTATTATTTTGAGCATCTAAAAAACTGCTCATACTCAGCTGTTAAAATGCTGGTGTTCTCCAGAGAACTGTTCTTAGTTCTTTCAGCTTTTCATTTTGTATGCTAGTCCAGCATGATATATTCTTATAGATTACTATCTTCCCCCTGAATCCTCACGCTTCTGTGTCTGTCTCCATAATCTAATAAGACATCAGCCATACTGAAGTAGGTTTAACCTAAAGATCTCATTTTAACCTAAATCCCTTTTAGAGACCCAAATGCTAGAACAATCAGAAAGGTGTTAGGGCTTCATCTTACATACTTGGGGAAGGACACAATTTTTTTTAACAACTTTTAAATCTCTGTATCCAAATGGGACTTCTATAATATCACACTTATATATTTCTCCCTTCTAGACATTTAAAAAAAAAAAACATTCTGTAGATGTCTCAGATTCATGAGTTGATCTCTATTTCCTGACCCATTAAGTGAAATCGATTTATTAGCCATACATTTAGTAGTTCTTCTAGATTTTTCTTATTCATAATTTACATACTGCTCGATATTAAATACTGAACCCTACTGTCACAGATTTATTTTTTAGGCCCTATCATAAAACCCGTTAGATTATTATAATAGGTTTTCACCTCTTAATGTAGGTTATTTTTTAATTGCAGGAATTTTCTAATTTAAAAGGAAAGTAAGAGAATAATAACTGAACTCAGTAAACTCACCATTATCATCTTTTCTTGCCTTGTTTTGAATTTTTTGGGGTAGCTGAAGAAAACAGCATGCATTTATGATCTCAATTTCTGTAAATCAGGAGTCTAGGCATAGCATAGCTGGCTTTGAGAAAGCTTTGTGGTCTTGAGGTTACAGTGAAAGATTCTCATCAGAGTTTTAACAGGAAAGAAATGTACTTCCAAGCCACCTCAAGATGCTGGCAGAATAATTTCCTTGTGATGGTAGCTTCATTTTACATTTTTGCTCTTTACATTATTTCTGATGTTTCCAGATTCCTTCTTTCAATGTTTTTGTTTCAAGAACTTCATTTAACAGTTTTCTAGGGAACTTCTGGTGACAGATTGTCTTAATTTTTCTTCTGAGAATGTCTTAATTTTTTTTTTCCTTGAAGGATATTCTTACTGGATAGGTAATTTAGGAGTATTGTTTTCTTATATCACTCTATGAAGTTGTGCCTCTTTCTCCTGCCTCCGTGGCTACTGAAAAGAAATATGCTGCCATACTTAACTGTTTTTCCTCCAATAGGAAGGCACTATTTTTCTTTCATTGTTTTGCAGATTTTTCTTTGTCTTTAGCTGTCAGAAGTTTAATTATTATGTATCTTGGCATGGATTTTTCTGGGTCTATCCTTTATGCAGTTTATTCAAATTCTTAAACATGTAGATTTATATATGACAAAATTTGGAAAAACTTTTAACTTTCTTTTCTTGAACTATTTTTTTTTTGTTTCACCCTCAAATTTCTTTCCTAGGATTCTAATGACATGAATATTAGATCTTTTGTTATAGTCAACTTGACTCCCTAAGGTTTTTTTTTTTTTTTTAAGTTTTAAGTTCCTTTTTTAAAAAGATTTATTTATTTATGCATACAAGAACTGAGGTACAGATCAGAGGTGCAGGGTTGAGAGACTTCTCCAAAACAGAGTGGGGAGCAGAACAGGCGGCTTGATTGAAATACAACCTTTGAGGGGAGCAGCTGGCAGGACAGGAGAGGTCTGTCATGCATGTGGATCACCTCCCTGGGCAGGAATCAAACTCATGCTGCAGTGGCTTCTTGAACTCATGCCTCAGTGGCTTCGACTAGCTTCATAGTGCTGTGCTTTAACCCATTGTGCCACCAGGGATGGCCCTAAGTTTTAATTTCTAAGTGTGCCAAAATATACATAAATTTAGTGTCTTAACTACATACAAGTGTTCAATTCAATACTGTAAAAAATATTACTGTTGTTCAGCCATTCTATAGAATATTTTCATCTTGCAAACCTGAAACTCCCATTAAACTACACCTTACTTTTTCTGTTCATTACATTTCCTGACAGTCACCATTCTGCTGTTCTGTGAGTTTGGCTACTCTAGATACATCATGTAAATGAAATCATGCAGTATTTGACTTTCTGTAACTGGCTTATTTCAGTTAATATAGTGTCTACAAGGTTCATCCATGTTGTAGCATGTGTCAGTATTTCTCCCTTTTAAAGGCTGAATAAAACTCAATTTTATGGAAAATGTGTGTATGTATGTTTACATAGGGTCATGACTATGGAAAGAAATATTTCAGGAATATGGTAAAGATTATTAATTTTTCTTTCGAGGTGTTTGGAAAACAAAATAAAGGAAAGTTGCACTAAAACTAAAGTGTGATTAAGTATAATCCCATTTATCTAAAATTATGTTTGTAAAGATGTTAAATAAAAATAAATTCATGAAAAGCATACAGTAGTCATAAAAAGCTTTATATACTTTAAGAGGAAAATAATTAAAAGTTGTAAAATTTAATTCTTGATTTTGGAATACTAACTAAATACATGTGTAATTTTGTTTGTTTTGTTCTATAGTAATTCCACTGAGTGAAGAATTTTTGACAACATTAGGAAAAGAAGAGGTAAGCTACTAAATGGACTTTTGGTCACTCCAAATAATTTATAATTATAAGTTTCTTGGGTAAGTTCATGACATTAGAAGTAGGATGAAATCACTTTAAAATCAAATTAATTTTAAATTTTATGTGTTTTATTGAGCAGAATGTCGAAATTTTTTTTCAATTGAGGTAATGTTGATTTATATCATCATTTATTTTTGGGATTATAGGCTCAAATCTCTACAAATATATGCTTTCATATCAGGCCCACTACCAAAACCCTGATAAATCCTCCACTATGCTCATTCGACCCATCCCTTCTGGTTGCCTTTACTTTGCAGTCAAATGTCAGGGGTTGGTTATTGGTATAGTTTTGTGTGACCTTTTGTTTTATTGAATATGAAGTGAAACTTTGGTATTTGTCTTTTTCCTGACTTACATTGCTTGACATTATCCTCTCTGGTTGATCCATATAGTCTCAAATGGCAGGTCAAAGTATAAGGCATAAGGCAGAAGCAAATCAGAATTTTAAACAAGTATGGAAAGAGATCTATGTGTTAGAGACAGAAATTGTGAAAAAAGATTATGTGAATTGAGGAAAGGCTGTTTTATATGAAACTGGTACTACAAATTTAGAATCTCATGTGGAGCTAAAGAACAGGGTCAATCACAGACTGTTCAACCTTCCTTTCTCTCTTTCTTTTTAACCAAGTAGCTATTTTTTTACTACATTCCTGAAAACTGGAGTTATGTAGTATGACATCATTAAACTGTTGAGGGTCTGAACTCAGGACACTAGTTTGGGTGTTAAGAGATGCTATTCCCCTTAGCAATCCTGATGTTGATAACAATGCCTGGGAGTCATTAACAGTTCAGTAAATATTTGTTGAATGAATGATACTCATTTTTTTGTTCTTGTATGATCTCCTTAGAAGAGACATGATGTACCTTATTTCTGAAAGATCTCAATGAAGTCGCCTTTCAATATGAAAGTAAAATAGGTTGTTTAGAGCCCCTTCCTATTTTTTTAAATTTAACAGACATTACAAACACTTGGTACCTGTTAATATATTTACCTTTCAAATGCTTTTTTCTAGGATATCTTCATAAATATTTGAATATCTCTTAGGCCTGTATGCAAATTTTACTATTATGAAGATATACAACTGTTTATAAGATCATATTCTAAACAATTAATTTGAATTATTTTGTTCTAGTTCCAAAAATTGAGACATGATCTTGAATTGGTACTATCTACTGTTCAGTCAAAGAATCAAAAGTTAAAAGAAGACCTGGAAAGGTATATTTGCATTGTAATTACTGTTAATCATTGATACTGGTTGAATTAGTGTCAGTGCTTTCTATTTCTTTGTTTTGTTTTTCCATGTTTATAGGGAACAACAGTGGTTGAATGAACAGCAGCAGATACTGGACTCTCTTAATGTACTATACAATGACTTGAAACATGAGACTGTCACCTTTTCTGAATCAAGGTAGTTCATGTCCAGGAAAATAGAAAAAAAAAGTTTTTCTTTTATGTTACATGAAATACATATCTGAAAATATAAATTTTTACTAGAAATCATGAGGCTTACCCTAACTTCTGCCAACTGTTAGCTGCACAAGCTTTTATCAGTGAACTGAGTTGATTGTACCTTTAGTTTCCCTACATGTTAAACAGACTATTGCTTTCATGAAGACCGTTAGTTGGTTTGAACAATGTTTATGATTAGCTTTGAGTAATCAGCTATATATAATTATATATTCACCAGTGAAATATTTCTCTTTAATTTTTTAAATTCTATTAGAATCTTTAATGAGCTGAAAACTAAAATGAGTGACATAAAGGAATATAAGAAAAAACTATTGTTTACCATGGGTGAGTTTCTAGAAGACCATTTTCCTCTCCCTGATAGAAGGGTTAAAAAGAAAAAGGTAAGTTTTGGAGAAGACATTCATGTATATTTTCATATATGAACTTGTTTTACATGGTTCAAATATAAATTCTCTAATATATTTTGTATGTTTATAATACATTCCAAAGATACACTTACAAAGATACATGTGTAGCAGTATCACAGTATATTTACTGAAAAATTAGAAGCAAGCTAGAATTAAATGTTTTTTATATTGTATTTATATGATAATGTAAATACAGCTTTTAAAAATAATTTATTGAACTCTGTAAAGGAGTTAGTGAGATGGGAATGTGGTTATTGCCTTTTTACAGTTGAATCTCCCTTGAAAAATAGACTTTAGTCAAAGTGAATTACCTCTCTAAAGAAAAATTCCTTTCCTTATAGGTGGACTCAGCCAGTTACTGGACTGTAAATGATTAGAAGGGCTTAGCCTCTCTGTCTCAATGTTGGAAATTTTGCATAGTCATTACACCTCTCCTGAGACTGACTGAGGGCTTTGTATTACTGAATAGGTACCAACTTTCCTGTGTGATTGTATAGCTACAGACTTCTTCCCTATTCATTATGCTTCATTAACTCTCCACAGCTTTAATCAAGAAAATATCAGTATTTTCCACAATGTTCCTACATGGAAATATCATTGACTTTAGAATCTGTTTCATGCATATTAATTATCAGCCACTCAGAAGACACATTAACTTTCTTGCCTTTGCCATGAAATAGTGCAATGAGATCTGAATATAGAGTATGAGATGTAGAATATCACACTGTTCTATTGTATTGTTAATTAAATCAAGTAAGAAAGTGGTAAGAACATTGGTACAGATAACATTTCCTAAGTTTCTGGAGTCTTGAGCATACTTGGACTTCCTTCTAAATAAAAGACAAACTTTGTACCCTATTCCATTTGGTATGAAGAGAACACAGTGCTTAACAGAAAAACCAATATTTTCTTAATGTTTTAGAATGAATCTTTTTGCATTTTTTTTTTTAAGATTTTATTTATTTATTCATATAGAACTGGGGTACAGGCCAGAGATGCAGAGGGTGAGAGGATTCACCAGAGACAGAGTGGGGAGCAGAACAGGCAGATCGACGAAGTACACTGCTGAGGGAAGCAGTGGGCGGGTCAGGAGAGGTCTGCCTCGCCATGTGGACTCCTCCGGGGCAGGCGGGAATTGAACTCATGCTGAAGTGGCTTAAGCTTTGTAGTGCAGTGCTTTAACCCGCTGCGCCACCAGGGAGGGCCTCTTTTTGCATTTTTAAGCTAGCTTGTAAAATACAGTAAGTGGAAACCTAAACATTAATTGTTACTGAATTCCATTTTAGAAATACTGGGGTAATTTTGAGGATGGCAGCACTTGAAATGGGGAATATTGAAAAATGTGATACATTTTAGGGAGTTAACTGAAAGACCTTCTGTTATATTTGATATAGGAGATAAATAAGAGATCAAAGATACTATAACATTATTTACTTGGTCTAGTCTATGAATGGAGCTGTCACGTAATTAAGTTTAAAAGCTTTCTAGAAAAATATTTAGCGCATGATCAATTTAATTTAAGGGACATACAGGTGGAAATAATATAGAGGAATAAATATATGTATCTAAGCTTGGCTTTACATATATTCAGCATTGAATCCTAAGTATAACTAGAATGACATGCACTATACTATGTATTTTATTTCCTGTTAATATTATCATAGGAGTGTAATATTTTCCCTTTCCTCTGGATCCTATCCTGTTGACCTCATGAGAGGTCATAATTCTTACTGCTTTATTTTCTCTCTCCTTTATTCATTTGCTTTTCTTTTTTGAATTATTTCAGAATCTATAAATATGCCCAGATTTTTCAAGCTTGAAAAAAAAAAATAAAAAAAGCTTTTCTTGTCCTGACACTTATAGCATCACCCATGTTAATAGTGGAATATTCTACTCATTTTATAGCAAAATGCCTCCAAATGAATAGGTCACATTTCAGCTTCTCATTTAAAACTGTCACGCTTTTTAAATATGACTTTTCTTCCCACCATTTCACTGGTCATGAAAATGATGTTACCAATGTTAAATCTAATGTTTAAATTTTTTGTTCATATTTTATTCTCCTTGTCAGCTATACTCAATAGAGTTAAAAATGACTTGAATTTCATAAGAATTTTTTCAGTTGAACATTTTTCACAGTAATTTGGTTAAAAAAGTTGAAGGCAGTCATCAAAGTTTGCCAATGATAGTGAAACTAAAAGGGTTATTAGATAGTAAATACATTGGATAATATAAGTGAGGTATACTTTTCAGTGGATCAAGAACTAGGCCAAATAACATGAAGTACTTAGTAGAGATCATAAATTATCTTGGGTTTACATATTGAGTAATAAAGAAGATAATAGATAGAAAAAGATTTTGAATTTTTAGATAACAGTCTGCTCAGAGATCAGCAGGGTGAAATAGATAATAAATTCTTAAATTTAATGTTTAGAATATCAGCATATACAAGTATGGGAATGGGTCTTTTCATCTCTCATCAAGTATGTTGTTGGAAACATACTTAGATCATTGTGGAGACTGGATTTAAAAAAATGCAAATTAGGGGCCTCCCTGGTGGCGCAGCAGGTTAAAGCACTGCGCAAAGAAGCTTGAGCCACTTCCGCATGAGTTCGATTCCGCCTGCCCCCGGAGGAGACCACATGGCGTGGCAGACCTCTCCTGACCCGCCCGCTGCTCGCCTCAGCAGTGTACTTCGTCGATCTGCCTGTTCTGCACCCCACTCTGTCTCTGGTGAATCCTCTCACCCTCCGCATCTCTGGCCTGTACCCCAGTTCTGTATGAATAAATAAATCTTAAAAAAAATGCAAATTAGGGCAAATTCAGAACAAACATGATGAGAGGGACTGAAGTCAATGACAAGTCAATGGTAATGAAAAATAGTAGAAGGGATTGATGCTCAGTATGGAGAAGACTTGGGATTCATAGTAGTTGGCTTCAAATATTTGAGAAAGTTTTGGATAGAATTGGAATGAGATATATTCTCTGTTATTCCAGTTGAGTTGAGTTAACGTGAGGAACTGTCAAGAACTATAGAAAGGGCTTCCCTGGTAGCCTAGGGGCTAAGTATTATCTCTATCACTTGAGTTCTATCCAGTCAGGGAGCTAACCCACATATGGCGTGACACACCTCTTCTGTCTTTTCTACTGTCCTCTTAGCAGTGTATTTCAGTAAATTCACTTGTTCTGCACTCTATTTTTGGTGAATCCTCTCACCATCTCACCCCTGCACCTCTGGCCAGCACTCCAGCTGTTTTATACACACACACAAAGAACTTAAGAAAGATGAACAAGTCCCCTGGGGAAGTAAGTTTCCTGTATAAATATAAATATAGTCTGGAATGCCATAGTTTGTGATATTTTGATTTGTGGTTTCAAATATTAGACTTTCTTTTATATGAGTGTATATAATATGAATAATATACTTGTCCATTATATATTGATATATATTATCTTAAAATTGGAAAAATTTTGCTTTGCTTTTATAAACCCAAATGTTTAGTGCAGTTTGTTTATGCTCAGAATTTTGATAGTCACTTAATTATAAATATTGATTTTAATCTACTTTTAACCATTACAATTAAGAATAGTAATTTTATTGTCTGTATTCTGCTTTTGGCAGAATTAGATGTTAATTTTTTATTCATATTTCTGTCAAAGAAAAACATTCAAGAATCAACTCTGGAGCTGATAACATTGCATGAAATATTAGAGGTAAGTACTTTGTGTTGTTTTCTATGAAGGTGTCTCTGAAGTAGTGATTTTTAAACAATTTTACACAAGCTTGGAAAAACATGCTGCTTTAGTTCTTAAGGTATACACCAATCTTTTCTGGTAGAATCTTAACTTGGCAACATTGTATTCTATATAAAATATGTAAGTGAGTGTAAGGATTCTTTCCACAAAGTTGAAGAAATTTTGTGCACAATTTTTCATTAAATAATGTCAGCATCTTTTGTAAAATAATGTTAAGTATTGAATAATCCCAAGATTTTCTGTTAGACAATTACTTTCTTTTGTAAATATCTTTGACTTTTAAAAAAAATGTATTTGATCTCAAGCCAAATTAACATTTAATAAATATTTTTTAGAAGGTTTTTATTTAACAATCCATTGTAAATTGGGAAAAGAGGAAATTAATATAGTGTGAAGAGGTTATTTAACAATTAGTGTGCCTTTTAAAAGTCACTAGTGTAATTTAAAAGAAAGTGATTTGTTCATTGTGGCTTTATGATTTGGCTGCTAAAGTCTCAACTTTTATTCAGGTAAGTAGTTTTGATGGCTCATGATATCTTAATATAGAATTTATTGCTTTGAGAAGAAAAATAAAAATAATGATTATTTTTGTGGTTAGAGTATTTTAACATAATTCTAGTTATCCCAGATAATACTGAAACTGAGAAACTAGTATTTCTCATGGATGAACTTAGCTTTTTTGAATAAAATTTGTCATATATGTAGCAAATATTATAAGTAGTAACTGAGTAATATATGTGTAATTTTTTTGAGCAGAATAACATAAAATAATGTGTAAAACTTGGATTTTGAAACCATTTTGTATCCAAAATGCATTATCAATAATAAAAGTAAACCAATATTTAAATTGAACTTCAGTGAAAAGTAAATACAATATGCATGTTCTTTATAAAGTTGGATTATTAGCATTTAGTTATTTCTCGCATGTATCCAATTTTACTTAATGTGATTCAAGATTTGAAATTAAAAATTGATATTTAAATTGCATTGAAAGAAGTAGTTGTTCTAAATTATGAATATTTAATTTTTCTGCCATGATAACTAAACGAAATGAGACAAAATCTTTTTTCTACCAGAATATGAAACTTGAAATAATTAATGAAAATTAACTTTAGATGAAAATTCATTTTAAGAGCTGAGGTACTGACATTATGAAATGATTATTATGAAATATGATTGAAATGAGAGCATCTTAGATTATACTTCTATGGTTTATATTTCTATAGATTATACTTCTATGGATTATACTTTATTTTTGTATAAATTATGCTTTTTTCTTTTTCATGTTACTTAAACTACTGTCTTTTAATTAACCCTTGGCTAGGTATTCAGAGATAAGGAGTTTAGGCCATGAGCTGCCACCAATTATGTTCTGTTGAGGAATCTCTTAACTCTGTTAAATTCAAGTTCTGTAATTTGTGAAGGTACTGGGAATTTTTTGAGGAAATAGGGTAGCAATCCATATGTATTTAGCATTTTCCAATGTTTCACTGAACAATAGTGTTCAAGGAATTTTAAGTCTGTGTTTTTTGAAAAATTTAACTAATGCAGTAGATTTGCGAAGGAAAGGGAGTTGTCAATGCACATTGACATTCCTTCCCCTTCTTTGACCATAGAAACCTGTTTTCAAGATTAAAAAGATTCTTAAGGAAACCAATTCTATGGGATACAGCTTGGGAAATGTTAGCCTATGTAATTTAGTATGAAGACTTCAGACTTGCCAACATCCTTAATAAAGAATCCAAAGATATTCATAATGAAAATGAAGAGAATGATGATAGAACTACTGTTCTGAAGATTTTTCAAAATAGGTGGGGTGTTTTTGATGGAGATAGAGTTGGTGATTTCTTTTTCTCACAATGCTAAGATATGTGTGTATATATATCTATATATATTTAAAATATGGTGCATAATTTTTGAGTGTTTAAATTTCTTATTTTTTTTTATTTTTAAGATTTTTTTTTTTAAAGACTTTATTTTATTTGTACATACAGAACTGGGGTACAGGCCCAGAGGCTCAGGGGCGGTGAGGTGCTTCATCAGAGACAGAGTGGGGAGCAGAACAGGCAGATCGATGAAGTACACTGCTGAGGGGAGCAGAGGGCGGGTCAGGAGACGTCTGCCACACCATGTGGTCACCTCTGGGGCAGGCGGGGATCGAACTCATGCAGAAGTGGCTTTAGCTTCTTAGAGCTGTGCTTTAACCCGCTGCGCCACCAGGGAGGGCCTCTTATTTTCATTTTTAAGAAAATTTATAACCAGATTTCTAAAGCAGTTTCTTACCGCAAGAGAAGTGGAAGAGTTGTATATGCCTCTTAGCCACTTTTTAGGAAATGTTTTGCGAATTAAGATACATAGATTTATTTTAAAGCTTTTACTCACTAATATGACCATCTTTTAAAAAAATTGTTTAAGTTAACACAAAAATTATGATATAGTTACTCAAAGAGTAAAGACAACATTTGATGAATAGTTTTGTTTATTACAGTTAGGTCATTTTTTCACAAGTAAGATATATTTTGAATGACATTTTTTCCTAGATTCTTTTAAATAGATTATTTGATGTTCCACATGATCCATATGTCAAAATTAGTGATTCTTTCTGGCCACCTTATATTGAACTGCTCCTGCGTAATGGAATTGCTTTGAGACATCCAGAAGATCCAACCCGAATAAGATTAGAAGCCTTCCATCAGTAAAAGAATGGCCACTTTTCACCCAGACTTCACAGAATCTTGTCATTTAAGGATAATGGAAGCACTGAGAATTACTTCATTAAAGAACATTATTTTCAAATCAAAGAGCATAGTCCATTTTCCTTTTATACTTAATATGACACATGCTGCCATCTATTGTTAATTTAAAAACAATACTTTCTCATTCAGTATTTTAAATGGTATGAACAAAAATACAAGTGAAAAATATCCTGGACATAATCATTATAAATATTAATGTACCTGATTTGCAAACCTTTTATGAAAATCCTTCATTATCTTATAATATTGCTACATTATATTTTCCTTTTAAAATTGATGACTACTTTTATGCATTTTTCATTCCATTTGATGTTCATCTCCCTAAATTCAGGAGTTTTAATGAAAAAGTATTTAAATTGCAGATGGTTTTAAAGTCGTATGTTTAGAGTATTAGAAAATTTGTTCCATATATACTGCTTTATGTTTAGATTCCTTAAAATTTTAAATACAAAAAACCGATAAAAACATGGAAGTTATATTTTAATATGTGTTACATAACAAATGATATTATATATTAAACTATTTTTTATTTTTACTAACAAAAGTGTTCATAAAATTTGTTAATCCTCATGAATTTTCTGTAAATAAAAATCTGTCATCTAAAAACCTGTTTTTTGTGATGTGGCATGTTATTTTAATAAATTGGACTTTTTCATATATAGATAAATGAATTATTGTAGAACTTATCCAGGCTAAACTAGAAAATGTAAGCTAAACTAGGAAATTCCAAGCCCATTTAATATTTAATATCATTTGTTTTCTAAAGACTTGCTGCTATATTTAAAAATACTGTATATAATCTAAGTTTCTTGCTTACCTTAAATATCTTTTTTTAAAATAATCAAGTAATATTCTACATATACTATGTCCCTTCTATAGAAAACACTAATTCTGCTATATTTTAGAAATTGTTATTTCTTCTATGGGAAAATGACACATAAAGTACTTTCCTAGAATACTTCAATTGGGAATTGAAAGGAACGAGTAATTTTTACTCTTTGGAATTACTGGATAAAGGAAAAATGGCAGTGTAAGCCTCACAGTAATTCCACAGAGCAATTAATACTAACGTTTGTGAATTACTCTGTTTGAAAAGTCTGGAAAGAATTATATAAGGGCAGTAAATAACTTGATTTACTTGGTAAGTCTACTTCACTGGTAAGGGTCTACTGGTAAGGGTATTTTCACTACAGTATCTTGAATAAGGCATTTAGAGAAAACTATGATTATTGCATCTTTATTTAACTCACTAACCCACGCTTTAATAGTTAGATAATTTGCTGATTCTTTTGATCTTACACATAGACAAAATGTAGTGGAATAAATTTTGATTTGTTCTCCTGACCTTGCTTCCCTTGAAATGTTTTGTGGTTTTTGAGGCCTATATAAAGAAATGTTTCAAGTTCTGAGGATCTATTTCTATTTTCCCTTTTCATTTAAGAAAATCACTGAAACCTATAAGACTAAGGATTTTTTCTGTTTCACCAGCTTTTAAATATGACAATGCATAATATTTGAAAATGATACCACATTCTAGCTTTCCCATGTCAGATGGTGATATTACCCTAACTTGACAACAAGATTTGGTTCTAACACAAAATATATTTGAGTTCATTATTAGTTGATGTGTGTGCATAGATTGATTTGTGAGAAAATCCAACCGAGTTGAATATGATCCTGTTGAGTCTTAACCATATGCTCTCGTATAATCATACATCTATATTAACGTTTCTGACTCCCCATTTTCCTTTTTTGTTTAATTCACTCTTAGCTTTTTTAGTTTACTTCTTTGATGTTTTTGTCAATATAATTATAATAACACAGTCTAAAGATTATTATTTTATGTTTAATATAAAATATGTTTAAAAGTAATATTCAGTTCTATACAGGATATAATTCTATACAATGCCCCATTCCAAGAATGAATAAAAAATCTTGTATGAGAAAAGTTCAGTTATAGTGAGGTTGCAGGATATAAGGTTAACAAACAGAAGCCAACTGCTTCCTATACACCTGAAATTATAAACATCATTTACCTTTATACCAAAAAAGGAAATCCTTATGTATGAATATCCCAAAATATGCACATTTTTTTAATGAGAATACCTAGAAGTTCTAAAAAAAACCAAGGAAAATTTGAGTAAGTGGGAAAATAGTTCATGTTTATGAAGAGCAAATCTCATTTGTTAAAGTCTCATTCCTCCCAGATTGATTTACAAGTGTAATACATTCAAAATCCCAGTGAGTTATTTTGTTACAATCAATTAATTGATTCTAAAGTTTATGTAGAATGCCAGGAGATCCCAGAATAGCTGCTACATTATTGAAAAAGAACAAAGTCAGCATGGACACCAACTTTAAAGCTTATTATAAAGCTATAGTAAACCAAGACAATGTGCGTATTGGCAAAAGAAGTGACAAATAGCTCAATGGAACATAATGGAGAGGTCAGAAGTAAAACCACATAAATATGATCAGCTGACCTTTGTCAAAGAAGCAAAGACAAGCCAATAGAAAAAGTTAGTACTAGAACACCTGTAGATGCAGTGGGATAAAAAAGGGAAAAAAATCTGCCTTGACACTTTTTTTTTACTATATAATTTATTTACGCATAAATATTTTTTACATTATTGTGCTGGGTTTTTTTTTTGTTTGTTTGCTTTCTTTTCTCAGGTGTAGTCCCCACCAGTTTACCTGTGCAGCATCACCATATTCCCTTGTGCTTGTCCCTCTCTCTCTTTTATTTTAAGATTTAGTTATGCATACAAAACTGGGGTACAGATCAGAGGTGCAGGAGGTAAGAGGATTCACTAGAGACAGAGTGGAGAGCAGAACAGGCAAGGTTGCTGAGGGGAGCACCAGGTGGGTCAGGAGACGTCTGCCACACCATGTGTGTCACCTTCCTGGCTGAGGATGAAAGTAGTGCTACAGATAGCTTCATAGTGATGTGCGCCACCAGGAAGGGCTCCATTCCCTCCTTTGTTTTGGCCCCTCTCCTTCCCCCTCCCCTGCAGAATGTCCCTGATTTATACTTGTCTGTTTATTTTTATTTCGCTATGTTTTTTATTATTTCTCCCTGCCTAATGCATTATATGGTTCTCCAGTATTCCTTCTATAAGTGAAACCATCTGATACTTTTCTTTTCCCTTCTTCTGACTTATCTCATTGCATAATCTCTTCTAGTTCCATCTATGTTCCTGAAAATGACATCTTTTTGATTTCTGAATAGTATTCTATTGTGTATATGTACCACATCTTCTTGATCCAATCATCTATTTTTGGGCCTTCCCTATTATTAGTAGTGCTTCAGTAAACATAGGGATGCAGGTATTCTTTTGAATTAGTGTTTTTGTGTTCTTTGGGTATATCCCTTGTAGTGGAATTGCTGGGTCATATGGTAGCTCCATTTTAGTAGTTTGAGGAAACTGCACAGCTTTCCATAGTGGTTAGACCAATTTACATTCCCACTGGCAGTGTAGGACAGTTCCCTTTTCACCACACCCTTGCCTACATTTGTTGTTGCTCATTTTAATATGTGCCATTCTTACTGATACCTCATTCTGGTTTTGATTTGCATTTCCCTGATTATGAGGGATGTTGAACATTTTTTCATATGTCTGTTGACCATTTGTATTTCCTCTTTGGAGAAGTTGACACTTTTTTTTTTTTTTAGATTTATTTATTTATGCATACAGAACTGGAATACTGGATTACAGGCCAGATGGGCAGGGGCGGTAAGAGGATTCACCAGAGACGAGTGGGGAGCAGAACAGGCCGACTGAGGAAGTACATTACTGAGGTGAGCAGTGGGTGGGTCAGGAGAGGTCTGGCATGCCATGTGGGTCACCTCTGGACCAGGAATCAAACTGGTGTTGAAGTGGCTTTAGCTTCTTAGTGCTTCGTTTACCTGCTGTGCCACCAAGGAGGGCCTGATACTGACAAATTTTTAACAAAACTTTAATTAGAAATAGATGTAAACCTAAATGTATCATGCACTACTATAAAACTTGTAATAAAAACAAAATCTTGTTTGAATATGGGTTGTGATAGTGTTTGAGGTACAACACTGAAATCATAATCCATGAAAGACAGTGTTATATATAAAATATTCATAAAATAAACAAAAATAAAAGTCATAGACTGAGGGAAAGTATTTATAAAACATATCTGATAAGATAATATAAAAATAACCTAAATATACAATGAGTGCTTAAAACTTTACACTAGGACACAGACATCCCAATTATAAAATAGGCAAAAGATCTGACCATATTTCACCAGTGAAGATATATAAAATGGCAAATAAGCATATAAAAAGATTTTCCACATATATTTTCCACATATATCTCATTTTAAAAATGCAAATTAAAACAATTCGATACCTCTATTCATTAGAATTGCTAAAAATCAAAATGTTGATAACACTAAATGTTGATGAGAATGTGAAGCAACAGGAATGCCCATTCATTGTTAGTAGTAATGAAAAAATGACAAATACTTTAGAAAACAATTTTATGATTGCTTACAAAATATACTCTTAGCTTTTGCCCACCAATTACATTCCTTGGTATTTACGCTAATAAACTGAAAATTTGTGTCCCACAAAATTCTACACAAATAGGTACTAAAGTCTTTCATAATTATGAAAAATTGGAAGCAATCCATATTTTTTATTTTTGTTTATATATAAATACTCTGTAGTATGTCCATAATTTAGAATATTATTCAGCCATAAAAATGAGGAGCTATCAAGTCAGAAGACATGGAAGGAACTTTAAATGTATATAGCTAATGAAAGAAGTCACTCTGAAAAAGGCTGCAAACTGATTTCAGTTATGTTACATTCTGGAAGAGGCAACACTATGGAGACAGTGAAAAGATCATGAGTTTGACTAGGAGGGTTAGGATGAATAGATGGACTACAGGGTATTTTTAGCATAGTGAAACTGTTTATGATACTATAATAGTGAATGCATAAAATCTGAATTTTCAAAACCTATAGAACTGTACAATACACAAAATTAGTCTTAATGTAAATTAGGGACTTAGTTTAATAACAATGTATAAACATTTGTTCATTAATT